GCTGGAAGAAACTCCAGGGATCATCATCCAATCCTTTGCTCAGCTAAAGTTGTCAATTTGAGACCATTATTATACAGGTATAATAATATGCATTATAGACTGCCAGGATTTGCATCAGTGATATAATACTCAATTCAGGCTCTTTTGCTCTCTCAGGTCCATGGGGCAGTGTGCTCCCCCCGACAGATTTTTCCATCTTACACAAATTTTCTCTCCCCCTTAACCACTATTGCTGGCTGGACAGCTCAGTGGTTTAGGTATTTGGCTGTGAAGCTAGAGGTTGGGAGTTCGATTCCCCACTGTGCCTCAACCATGTGACCAACTGTAGAGCCAGCCTGGGTGGCTTTGGGCAAACTGCACAGTCCCAGGGTGCCCCAGAAGAAAGGAATGGTAAACCACTTCTGAGTAGTCTCTACCTGGAAAACCCTGAAAAGGGTTGCCATACATCAGAATAGACTTGACGCCACATTATTTATGTACAGTGGTGCCCCGTTCCGGATTAACCATCGCTATGGGGAAACATCGCTATACGGAACAAAAAAGCCCATTGGAACGCATTAAACTTCATTTAATGTGTTCCATATGGGCCCAAAACTCACCGTTATGCGATGTTCCTCCATAGCGCAGGCATTTTCGCGCCCTCGGTAAGCAAGGGCAGGGCGCGAAAACGCTGCACGTGCCCATTTTGGGTCTTCCGGCGGCCATTTTGGAACCGCCGATCAGCCGATTTTAAAAAAACGCTATGCGAAGATCAGTAAGCGAAACGCTTACCGATTGTCGCAAAGCGAGTTTTTGCCTATCTAGGCATCGGTATGCGATTGCATTGGCGATCCCAAAAAATGGATCGCTATGCGAATTCGTCGTTAAATGGTGCGCTCGTTATGCGAGGCACCACTGTACTCAACCACTATTACCCATAGTTGCCTCTAAACCAGATGTACTTCTAACCCTGTATGTCAAATGTGAATCTTGGTAGAAGAACGAAAGTTGCATTGGCATAAACATTTAACAATTCCTTTTTACTGTCAGTAATTTTTTAGATCATAGTAACTGTATGAATTGGGCCAAGTATTATTCCTGTTTTAGAGCTACAACCCAGAGATTTATCCGAGACCAGACAATGTATCTGTATCAGAAGACTGGAAACACATATTCTAAGTCCACATGTAGTCATTTTTCTACCCGCTTAGTCAAACTGGTTGTATATCAGAGTAGCACAAGAGTAAACCTCCCTGTTGCCACCATGGAAGGTAGGAAGCATTCTTGCCATGCCTTTCACAGGATCCCCTCTCTTATATTGGAATTGATTCTTGATTGCTGGCTGGCAAGAACATGGAGATACAGTAGTTCTAGGGGCTGTTTTGTGACAGGTAGGAATGGCTTGCCTCTTTCTGCCTGTGTGATCAGCAGTTCCATTGTGCAATGCTGCTGTTCAGGAGAATCAGCAATAAATTGGTGTATCAGAGATCAAGAGTTCAAGGCAGACTTTTTTATATTCTGGTTGAAGACATGGATTTAACTTGCTTTAATCAGGAGGTCATATAAATATCCTAATAAACAGAGATTATGTAGTTCATTGCTGAACTTTGATCTTTTGTAAAGAAGGGAATGTGATCCTCTCTTAGATAAATAGCATCTATACATAAGACAAACAAGGATTTGTTAGTCATCTTTTTTTTGGTATGGTCTTTGAAAGTGGAGCTTAAAGAATGAAAACTGTGCAACTTCATTTACTGCTGTCAAACAAGACATGCCTAACATGTATTGTTAGAAGGAAGATTTATGATACAACAAGTAACCTCTTGACCCTTTGTGCATTTTGTACTTTAACTCCCAGAATTTCTAGCCAGGGCAAGCAAAGATAAGAGATTATGGAAGCTGTACACCAAAACTTCTGCAGGGTCAAAAGTTGAGCCTTAGTTTTAGAAATTTAAATTACTCAGGCTAGATAGGTAGTTGCAGGTAAACAGATTTTTAGGGATTGAAAAGGAGTAACTGTGGAAGTGGGGAGTTGTTGATAAACCAGATCTGGGCACATTAGTGATGGAAGCAGGCATCTTATACAGGTCCATCTAACTCAACATTGTCTTTTATCACTGCCAGTGGCTGTCTAGGGCTTTGGAGGAGGGTATTTTCCAATCGTATCTTAAGATGCCAAGGATATGGTGCCCAGGGACTTTGCTCATCCAGATTACGTCTTCTGCCACTCAGTTATTGTCCTTCCTTTGAACTTGATTCAAGCTATTTCCTTGAAGTGTAAGCAAAAAAAATCAGGATTTGATTTAATTTATCTTCGTTGTTTTCACATTATCTTAAATGTTTTCACTAAAACATTTAGTGTTCACAAAAGTGACAAAGCTTGCTAGGAACACGTAAGAACAAGAAAAGTGGGCTATCATCATTATAAAGTTCTGGTTTTTATAGCTAATAGACTGATCCATTGCTGACAGAAGCAGTGTCCACATGTACAATTTTTATTTTTAGAAAAGGGGGGGGGATTCCAAAGCAACATTTTGAAATGAATTAAGGTAAATTCCAAAATTTTAAAGAGCTTTCAAATTAGTGTGAAATCTGATTTCATTTCCCAGTTGATACTCAATAAATTGATGCTTTTATGCTTTAGAGACTTGCTGGTTAAATCTTCTGACGATTGATTCTGTTCTCAGAAATGAAGCTGAACTTTGACAAACTGGCATTTGCTAATCCATATGTAAATGTAATATTGGTACCTCTGCTTGTAAACAAGAGCGAGACGGAAAGTAGGGTGTCAATGAATGTTAGAAAACTTTGTGTTTTCTTCTTTCTGTTTTGTCTAGTGGTAGTTGACCATAATTAGACACATGGGCAGTAGCTGCCCATTCTCTGCCCAGTGTTGAAATTATTTTCTGTCTGCATCTGGTTTGGCAGAGAAACTTCCTGTGACTCCTTATAATAAGGTAGCTGTGATGGTGTGTCATCAGCTGAAAGAAATGGTCACTCCTAGTCTTCTCTGCTTGTGGAGGTATGCAAGCTAATAGCATTCAGGCACTGAGTTTATGCAATATGGGTGATTTTATTCAGTGTGCAGTATGGCATATTAATGTGCCATATCTCAATTAAAGCAAAGCACCACACCTGGACAGGAGAGCCTTTTTTTTGGAATGAATTTATGGAAGTTGAAGAACAGGTCTAAGAAGTGTGACAGGGCCATTTTATGCCTTTGTAGCACAGCTCTGTTGAGGGCTGAGCAGAACAGCTTGATCAGTGAAAGGGGGGGTTTAACTGCTAGGCTGTTGCAGCAAACTCAAGAAAGAATCTTGTGGCATCTTAAATATGTTAACTTTGGCAAAATCCTTTGTGGACAGCAGCATGCTTTGTCAGATGCAACAAATGGAGACCTTATGATTTTGAAATGTAAGGGTTTGTTACAGGGAATGGGTTATTAGTTACCCATGGGAGGAAATTTTAAAAAATGGTAGACTGTTAAAATTGCAAACCTTGGGAAGTGTAGAAATCAAGACTGGAAAGAATCTTCATTTAGCACAGTTTTTACAATAGAGCCCTGTCTGTTTCGCCTTGCTTGCAGTGAAAAATGGTAGAACACAACCCTGTCGTTTAGCAGAGTAACTTTCTGGAGTTGCTACTTGTGACACTGCAGTTCTGGAACTTCGAAATATTACAGCAAAACATCTTGTGTTGTGCATTAATGCCAATGAGATCAAATGGTGCAACTCTCTGGAAAATGAGTGAGAGGCTAACGCTGGATGATGGCCCATTGCTGTTGGACTATAATTTTAAATTTGGACGGGGAGATGCAGCCAGTTATTCTCGAGGAAATCCAGGCAACTGAAGATGGCATTGGTAGTAGTGCTCATGTGCTAGTGACCAAGGTTTGTTGCACATTGGCTACTTGTGTTGAAATGCATTCCCATAAACAGGATGTTGTTTGCAAACCACAGATAGAACAGAAGCCATGGCTGTGCACTGGCTTACCAAGGTAGTTTAAATCATGGCCTGTTATTGTGTCAAAACCCAGAACCATGATTTGTTTCTCCGGTTGCCAGTCTTGAAACAGATGCTGACAAAAGAGGCAAGATACAAAAAAGAAACATCACACTGAGGAAATCCAGGGCCAGCTGTTCATGGTTGAGAGCAACAAACTGTTTCGAATGTAAACTGTAGCTTAATGTGTAATACAATGTATGAGCAGAACCACCAGCAATGATTGTAGATTAGTATCTTCAAGGAGAATTCCCTTCATATGAATACACCTTCAAACTGTGCAAAAGACTATATTGCAGTTGAAGAGAATGACATATTGTTTTGTTTAGTCTCTTTAAATAAGGTTGTCTTTGCTTAACTATTAATTTACTCTCTGAGCATTTTCCTCGTCCTCTTGATTTACACAGAAATCTTGGTCCTGAGAAAATGGGGAGGACCATTATAGTTTCTTGAACTGCTTGCAGATTCTCTCTCTGAAGTTCTTCCAAGAGGTTTCCATCAAATATTCTTTCCTCTCTCATCTGCTTGCCAGATTGCACCCTTTATTTGTTAGTGTAATTATTTCTTTTACGGATACTCACCTTAAGAAGGAACGGAGTTCTAAACCTGGAACGGGAGACACGTTTGTTTCTCTAAGATGAAGTTTCGTATAGTGAGATGGAAAACCTTTGACTTCAGATGTTGATGAACTGTTGTGCCCATCATCCTTTGCTGTGTTGTTACAAGGATGATTTAGAATTAGAATTAATCAACATCTAGGGGGCTCAGATTCCCACCCCTCTGTAATGCCACCAGTATCTCTTATCTAGAAGCAACTTCCCAGTTACTGAGTGGATTTCTAACTGAGCCTATTTCCTTTATTTAGGTATGCATCCCTTCTCTTTTTTTCCTTTCCCAGTGCCTGGTCCCCTTCTGGTTGCAGGCTGTTTCGCAGGCTACGTTCCTTATGCAGTTTTTATCGCATTGCATTTATATTGCCCTTACTCTCTTTCTCATGGTTTATCTGTTTTTATTTCTAGGATGCTCTGGCCGTGTACAAAGAAATCCTCCTGCAATATTTAAATACCATTAGAAATGCTGTGAATGAAAAGTGTGCTGAGGTTGAGCCTTGGCAGCTGATAACATCCACGGTTGCGGCTACCCTTCTGGTGATGTGGCTACACATGTTCCTCTTTCAGTCAGAAAGTAAGTATCCTGTACTGTATATCGTACAGGAATAAGAAGCAGAATAATGCTGTTGTATAACCGGATGGTATTGTAATTGTGCTCTTCAAAAAAAGTTCCTGCATTATGATATAAATAAGCATTTGGTTGAAATTCAGTGGCAGAATTAATAAAGATTTATCTGAAGAGGTAGGGCAGAAATGACATATAAAGGTTTAGTACGGCCTAGATTCTCATTTCTGAAATAAGCTGCTAACCCTCATGATAGCAAAGAGATCCCTGAAAAAATGTTACAGCAGACATTCAGAGGATTGGGAAACAATTGGGTTAAAAGGTCACAATAAACTCTGCTTGACTTTATTGTTTATTATTCAATTATTTATTGCATTTTAATCCCATCTGTCTAGTGACAGAGTATTCTTGTGGGTGGCTACCATCAATAAAGAGAATGAAAATAATAACCCATCCACAACGTAAACCCACACTTCATAAAAAACCAATGAAAAAGAAAACGCTTAAGGCAACAGCGAGGGAAGCTCAAAACATGTGGGTCCACGAGAGTATCAAAGAGGGAGGATGTTACTAAAGGCCTCTTTCAAAAGCTCAGCTTTCACACATTTCCTGAAGGTCGAAAGGGAGGGAGGCTGGCATACATCAACAGGCAACACATTCCACAGTGATGTGGCCAAGTAGACTCATGTGCTTCCTTTGTCTCCTCTCCTCTCCTGACCTAATTATAACATAGAGATTGGAAGGTTCTGCTGTTTAGATTAATAACAATATATAGTGTCATCCAAACTTGATATTGTGGTTACTCTTACTGCAGTCATTGGAAACAAGCCAGGTTTATAAACTGATTTGACGTCGCTTTGTTTCTGTTAGTCACAGTTAAGACCATTATTATCTTGGGTTCACATGACTGGGATGGTGATGGCTGATCTAAAAAGAAGTAAAAACTTTCAGATTCCTCATAGCCCTGCCAGAGTGGAGAGAGGAAAGCAAAGGAATCCCAAGTTTTAGCTTTACATTTCTTTTAGCCATTTGTATTGGGAGTTCCCAACAAGTGGTTCTAACTTGAAAATTAGATACAGCTGCAGTTACCCTGTGACAGGTTACACGAACCTTATGCAAATGCGAAAAGGAGTCCAACGAATGTGTCCAACAAATGTAGTTTCATATTGACGGGGCTCATGGAAATAATATTTGCATGTTATAATTAAATGCGGCACATTTACAGGTTAATTATGACCCTTCCATCTCAGAGGTGTTACTGGCAGTGGTCTTAGTACTGCAAACATGTGTGTGCATAACTCAGGAGAGAAAAGAGACATTGATTAAAAAATATACAGTCATATTTTATTCAACCTTGGGACATTTCCCAGGCAACTAGTTGGTATGCTTATGGAATGTTTTTGGGTTTGGGAACTTCAGCTTCCAGAATTCTGCTTGGGGAATTCTTGGCGACCTCTGGGAGTTGCAGTCTAGTTCTGGGAGGTGCTGCCTGGGGAATTCTGCTCTCTTTTCTGCAGAGCAGAAATGCTCCAAATACAATTCAGTGGTATATTTGTCAACAGTGGAGTGTTAATACTTGTAAAACGTTTCCTTCCTAGGTTTAACATCACGCTGTAAAAAGCGGTTCTTCCGAGTTTTACGCAAACTGCCTGTCATTGGTACTATGGTAAGTTTTAAAGCAATGAGATATTTAGCTCGTTGGCTTGCTAGCAAGAAAGAAGCCTGTAAATTTATTGGGTCACTTTGGTAGCAGAAGGTCTGTATGTTTATAACTTTTTATTTCTTGTGTTTCTGCCTACGATTCTCAGATAAAACAAAGAGCAAAGGAATGAACATTTACATTCAACGACATTCCATTTTAAACCCGGCACATGAAAATAGCATTCTTCTGGTGCAAGGCTGTTATGCTATCAGTTGCAGTAGTCCAAGGGTGTCATCCCATACAATTTGTGTTGCATGACCCTGCACCACTGTGTGTGCAGTGATATAGTTCTGTCTCAGTGCAATGGGATAAGTAGAGATTTTCACTCCTCCAGTGTTGTGAGGGCTGTAAGGTTGAGTATGACTGTTTAAATCAACCTATGGCTAATTTAAAACCAACCAAACCCAATGCACCATTTTTTCCTTTTCCATTCCTTGCAGAAGTAGTTAAAGTAAAAAAACAACACCAAGACCCAAAACATGAGTAAGATACTTCCAGCCATTATCTGGGGAGGTCCATATGGGAACCTTCCAAAGGGATGTGTGGGAAAAACCTATAGAAAAAAAATTCCAAACTATGTTTTCCAGGTCTGTTTCTTTTGGGTGGTGTCCTTGTAATAAGAATTTTGAACCAGTGTGTTTGAGTGTGCAGGAGCACTGCCACAGACCTTAGGGTGCATTATTTCTTGGACACAACTCAGTTTGATAAAACGATTCACAGATAGCTATGGATTTGCAAAAGTAGATCAAGCAGACCTCCAGAGTGACTCACCACTTACTGTATTTGGAGAAAATGGATGCAAGGAACAAACTTTCACATTGATAATTAAACACAGAGCAGTTTTTTTTGTCTCAGTACAGACAACAGTATCTTGGCTAATTGAGCTATCATATGAATGGGCCTTTTCACCATGCATGCCCCTTCATTCCTCCTTTTGAGTTGGTAGGAAGTAAACTGATAAAACTTTTATGTCTTGTTTTGTCTGAATTGTGATACCGTTGTTGCTAGTTAAAGAGCCAGGATATCTGACTATAGCTGTAGTTCAGAAATTGTAAATGTTGTTTCCTGGATCAGACAGAATGGGGAAACTCTCATTAATTAGAGACTTACTGGTCTTATTGCTTGATGAATGAAGGAGTTGCAATCACAGGCAAAAAGCTTGTTGATACCGCACCTAGTTAAACCAACATGCAGCAAATGCTAAACACCTTGCAATAATATATTCTTTCCCAGTAGAGAATCGTATGAAGCAAGTTATGAACTAAATGAGTCTTCTCAACTGTGAGAAACCCAAAATGTAATTACTGTGTAAATCTGCAATAGAGTGAAAGTGTGGATTTTATTAGAGCTAGGGGTTCCGCAGAAATTCATTTAGTTATTATCTCCTTAATTCATCAGCAGTGAAATAAAATTGGTTGCATCTTACTGCATTTTAACATTATTACCATAGGGCATGGAAGATGAAAATCTTGAAGCATGAAATGAAACTGTGTTTTATCACTTTTTTCCCCTCTAGAATTAAAATACTGTACTAATTTGGTGGAAAACTGAAACATATGCCATAGTTATTTTGCTATCAAACATTTTTAAGAATGTGAAGTGTATAAAACAGTACTGTTAATTAAACTTTGAAGTATAGATGTCTTCATGTTATTAAAACATTAATTAAAATTGCACCAAATATTAGCTATGGAACCACAATCTGCTTTGTCATAGGACAGGGTAGGCAGTTTGTGGCTTTCCAGATGTTTGTGGACTGTAGCCCCCATTTAGTAGGCTGGGTCCAAATGATGGGTGTTGTTGGCCCAAAACATGTGAAAGGCCATAAATTCATCACTCTTTGCACTTTTTGTTCCAAGATGTTATATACCTTGGTTTTATGAGTTGGCAAAACTAGAGGGATGGGAGTTGACAGCTGTTAACATCATAGTTGGAAAAAGGAATATTTTATTAGAGTGCAAAAATTGGCCATACTAGTATTTGTAGAGAAAAATCTCAAACATGTATTACTTTGACATGATAGACTGAGTCTGTCTGTCTGTCTGTCTGTCTGTCTGTCTGTCTGTCTGTCTGTCTGTCTGTCTGTCTGTCTGTCTGTATGTATGTATGTATGTATGTATGTATGTATGTATTTGACTTATGCCCTGCCCCTCTGGTGGCAAGCCATTACTTTAGGTGGCTGCAAAAGGAATAAACATGACTAAATAATAAATAAAATTAAATCAGCAAACAAAAAGCAGACTCCCCCAAACTGTCTATCAAAATACCACATAACTCCAAGATGGCGGAAATAGCAGCAACTAGTAAATTGTACACATAGGGCCATCACATAATTACATAATAACTACGTTATGAAGGAGCAAGGTTTTCATGGGTGAAAAGCCATGTTTTAATTTGCTTCCTAAAGCCAAGGAGGGTGGGAGCTTGATTCTCCTCCACTGAGAGGAAATTCCACAGTGAGGTGGCCCCTACTGAGAAGGCCCAGTTTCTAGCTGATGATTTCGGAGCATCCCTTGGTGTGGCTACCCACAGCATCAAGGATTGGGAGATATGGGTGGGATGGGAGGCTGATCTGATGGACAGGTGCTCTGTCAGGTAGCAAGGTCCTAAACTGTATGGGGCTTTATATTATATGTTAACATTAGCAACTTGAACTTGGCTTGAAAATATACTGGTAGCCAGTGCAGAAGGGGCAGAACAGGTGAAATATGGTCAAATTTTTATGTTCCTGGGACCATCCTGGCTGCTGCATTTTGCACTTGTTAAAGCTTCTAAACTTTCTTCAAGGGTAGCACACATAGCAATAAAACTGGGCACAGTTAGCCATTTTGCTCAGGGGTTAGTCCCCCTAATCAATTTTAAGTCCTGCGGGAGCCTTTTTTTCAAAACTAAAACTGACGCTTCAACTTTTAAAGAAGGATCTCCTAGTACATAGAATCTTCTGCATGATGAGAAAGTAAGCAAAAAGCAGGGTCTGAACAAGAATATGAAAGTTAGTATAAGTCTTGCTCAGGGGTTAGTCCCCCTAATCAATTTTAAGCCCTGTGGGAGCCTTTTTTTCAAAACTAAAACTGACGCTTCAACTTTTAAAGAAGGATCTCCTAGTACATAGAATCTTCTGCATGATGAGAAAGTAAGCAAAAAGCAGGGTCTGAACAAGCATATGAAAGCTAGTATAACTAAGTTGTATTGCGACATTGCAGTTGGTTAGTGTAAAAAACATTTGAAGGTGTAATAAAGAAATCAGTTACTAGATTGCACTTCAGCATGCATAAACAAACAACCCTGGACAGCAATAGGTACAATTCATACTTATTGCATGTACGTAATATATGCAGTAGGTTGTGTTTAAGTGATCTCACATGATCAGAAAAATATTCACTGTACCATCACCACATCTGGAATTATAGCTATATTAGTCTGTTGCAATAAAAACAATAACATCTTGCATGTCTAAGTGTCTTGAGGATTCAGCATAAGCTTTCATGGACGAGGTCCACTACGTTAGATGCATGAAGTGTTTCCTCAAGTGTACAGATATGTACAGTACATGCTTAAGTTGGTGGAGATTGCAAACAGTGAGATTTGAAGGAATTAAAATTCAGAAAGTCTGTCCTGAGATAGATATCTTAATGGTGCTATTCACTGCTTTTCTTACAGATACAGAACCAAATGAACAAGACTTTAGAAGATATGGCTTCTGGGCTGTCATTCTTGAAAGACAAAAAGGGTTATATCAAAACCCTGCCAGCAAAAGGCTTGAGCCAACCCGAGGTGTTAAAGATGATGAAGGAATATAGCTTGATGGGTATGGGTTTGAATGAATATTGGCACGTGTAAACCTATTTCACAGTCAGTATCATGATTTGCTTCTGAGTGAATGGGGGAAGGGGTGATGTTAACTTTTAAGTTACAGGAAATGATTGTCAGTAACTAATAACCCCCATTGTTTTTAAGAAAATAAATGCTTTACATTATGGAATCCTTCCCATCTTGGTTCCAAAGTTAGAAGAATAATAGACGTAACAGAGAAGATGAAAAAGCATCCTATTATTGTCTTGTAATAATGGCATCAAGTTAGCCTTAACTTGATTTTAGAAAACTGGGCTGTGCATTCAGAAAGAATGTAATAAGCTATAAATACTAAAGTAATAATTTTATATTTCAGAGGCTTTGGGATACAAACATTTATAACTTCTACAGTACTCCCACTTTTTTCCATCAGTTAAGGTCTGTACATCAGTAGAGAGTGTCTGCTGGATGCATAAAAGTACTGTAATTAAACAGTTGGACATGCACTGCAGGATCATGTGTTCTGTCCCTAGTTAATTCTTTCTGAAGTATGAATTTTTGCTGCCAGCTGTAACATGCCTAAATACTGCATGGTTAACCACGTGGTTAAGAAATCAGGGCCACTTTCACATCAGCTTAATCATTTTTTGAATTAAAAACAAATGGCACATACATCTTGGGGAAAATCTGAGCACCATTGATGAGTTGGGCATTGTGTTCCCTTATCCAGATGGTCAACATATTTTAAGTTGTTAGATTTAAAACCTTCTTCATGTCTTACTAGAATTATTTATCCTAAATCTGTTGTATTAGTATATGACGTGTTTTAAAGATAGAAGTGTGGCAAACTGTCTAGCTATTGACAGGCAAGATAATGTGAACAAAAAACCTACTGTTTTGATTTGTCTCATGCTTTTATGTGTGATGGATGTCACTGTGTTTTCAGGTGATATACATTGGGAAGATGGCAAAGTGTCTGGGACAGTGTACAGTGGGGAAGAGGACATCACTAATCTGCTTGTTAAGGTAATGCAGCGTTATAATAGCTGATAAGTCTGGTGCATGTGTGCGTGTCATTGGCTGAAATCCTGTTGCGCAGCTCCATGTCTTCAATAGTGATGATTTCATCACCACCATCAGCAAATCACTGCTGAAGAAAGACTTCCTTTGAGGATTTTGGGGTGTAATTGTGTGTCCTCTGAAATCACCTTTTGTGGTCGTATCATCATCATGGCACACAAAGAGCTCTGCAGCAGGATTTCGGCCATCAGAAGCAGTGACCCGCAGCAAAAGGAAACAGGGCTTGTTGAATTGAAAGTCACTGCAGAAGGTTGTTGAAAGAAAGGTCTTGAGGAAATAAGTGAGAGGTAAAATAGAGTTCTGCTGGGGGCAACATCAGGGTGTTGCTCTACTTGTTCAGGAGAAGATAAGATAAAATACGTTGATGAAGGAAGAAGTGTGACATGAGGTAAAGACCACACTGACTGTGACTTCCTGGGAATTTTCTCCACTTGAGGCTGGTAACATGAGGGCACAAAAGCGATGCTAATCTGTTTCAATTGTAAACCTGGGGTTGCTATTGTTAAGGTTATATAAGAGACTCTACTAATTGATAACAAACTAAAATTTATTGCTATCATGCTAGTGCTTAAGGTGTTGTATATGGTGTGCCCCCCTCACCCATTTTTTATTGCCAACAGATGCATGGTTTTCAATATATTCGCGAAGGCTTTCACGGCCGGGATCTAATGGTTGTTGTGGGTTTTTCGGGCTCTTTCGGGCCAAAGAGCCCAAAAAACCCACAACAACCATTAGATGCATGGTTTCTTGAGAGGGGATTTCCTGTATTGGTGTATTCTGCTTATGGTGTAAACACAAAGAAAGTAGAATCAAACCAAGGCTAACAGAACATCACCTGTTTTACCTTCCCTTTGTGTTCATTAATCTCATGAACAATAAACAAGAGCTTGATTCTCCTGAGGTCAAATTTCCTCCCCCCCACCCCAAGAAATGACTCCTGAAGAAATAAATAGTGCCTGACATGGCCCTAGAAATATGAAGACGATGTGTGTACATAGTGTGTCTCATTCTAATTAGTAGGATAATGAAATTCTCAAGTACTATTTAGAAATTCCCCATTTTTACGTCAGTTGCTTACACTGAGAAGCTTTTCATTTTGTTTGCCCCTCCCCACGTCCCTTCACTTGATATTTTTTAAAAAATCTTCTCTTACAACAGGTGCCCTGTGGTATAAATTGCATTGTTTTGTTATGTGTGGGTAACCAATGACACCAGCAACGTGCATAATAAATTAAGTACCATATGTGTTTTTTTTCACAGTTGAACAACAATAACAAGATTGTGCAAGAAAGTCCATTATACATTTCTGATTAATTCTAGTTATTGTGGGCATGGTGCACATGTAAAGTTGTACATCTTGTACAGTAACAGCTCCTAGGGCATCCAAAATCTCAGTTTGTCTTTTAGGGAGCAGCAGAAGTTTCAAGTTTTTCACAGGCTTTGCATTGTTGCTCTTTTCCATTTACAGACCAGTCTGTATACTGGCTGGATTGTGATCCTGGCTTCACAGAAAGGGTTCTCTGGGTATAGTCATCATGGCACAAGGAAGAAATTCCTCTGAAAAGATCAGGGAGTGCATTGGCCACTGCTTGAAGACAGTAGTCCTACAGTGTCTTTGTAGATAAGTAGCTGGAGAAATTGGTCACTTACCTGGGGAAAGGTGTAGGTCAGAGGACACCACTTTACAGTTTGCTGTTTTGAGCACCTCTATGAGCAGTTCAATGCACGTGGCCTCGGTTACTTATATAAATCTTAAGCTTTATTACAAACACAGCTGTTTGTTTATGTTTATAATTTTAGGCTGATTTTAGGTACAAATGTCTTCAAAGGCATTTACAGGTTAAAACATAATGACTATACTCTTGTCATGGTAGCCATGAAAGCTACATACATTTGTGTGTGTAAACCTGAATAGCTATAGTGGTGATAGGTGACCTATTGTATGTGCTTTAATGTGCCATTGCATACAATCCCGGTTTCTTTTTTTGGAGGGGGTACTTAAAATTCTTTGCAGATGTTCAAAACATTGCAGTAGAAAATTCTAGGTATCTCATCAGATTTCCATATACTGTAATGGAGCCATGACGGTTAAACTTGTATCAAACTGCTGCAGTTGTGTATCGAGTGTAGTTAGAACTGAGGATGATGACAAGGGTGAACATTCTTGGCCAGTACTATAATATAGTAGCTCCTAGATAGTTGTTCCATTCCTTTGTTCCTTACTGAGGGAGAATATATAAGCATGTGGGATAGCTATTCTTACCTAAAGACCTAGCAAAGTTGGTAAAATATTTCTTATTTCTAGGTGCCTGGGATTTTCCCTGTCCTGTCTCAAAATGTTGGCATAACTGCCCTCCTATAAAATCTTCTTAAGCACTTTGGAGGAAAAGCTTTATATTGAGAAGCTGGTGAGCTGGCATGTGGTTATTGTTTGTTTTCTTCACCAGCCCTTTTCCATCTCCATACTCTTTTCCTTCCCATTATTCTCAGGAACAAGTGGAATGCCCTTTTCTGTCATGTATATTTCTATATGGGTGGTTTTGTTCTATTTCTCTGTTTCCCCTGCCTTCATTTGTGATACCAGTCTGCACCACCTCTTATGTTTTCGCGCCTTCTTTTCAACTAAATTTTGCTTGGAAGATACAAGCAACTCACTCTGCTTGCAATTCACACTAAGATGTTCTTCTTAAACTCAGTCTCAGCAAATCACCATTTGGTGTCCCCTCATGAGCTATGAAAATACCTGTACATTACTCAACTTTGTGTTATTTTCCTTCTTGCAGTAGTTGTTCAAAGCTCTTGTATTATCTGCTTAGGTCATAGTTCTTTCTGTTTGAAAGAGATAAGTTTGATGATCACTGTGATTATGTTCTGAAAATACATGGTGTTGTATTGAGACTTATACCGTGTTTCCCTGAAAATAAGACAGGGTCTTATAGTAATTTTTGCTCCAGTAGTTGTTCAAAGCTCTTGTATTATCTGTGTTAGAGGTTAAAAAAGATATCTGCTTAGGTCATAGTTCTTTCTGTTTGAAAGAGATAAGTTTGATGATCACTGTGATTATGTTCTGAAAATACATGGTGTTGTATTGAGACTTATACCGTGTTTCCCTGAAAATAAGACAGGGTCTTATAGTAATTTTTGCTCCAAAAACCGCATTAGGGCTTATTTTCAGGGGATGTTTTATTTTACAGTCATGTCATCTATTTGGGGTAGGGCTTATATTACGAGCATCCTGAAAAATCATACTACGGTTTATTTTCACGTTAGAGCTTATTTTCGGGGAAACGGGGTAGTGCAAGCATATAATTATATGGGGAAGGTATCTGGAATCTGTATTTGATTCTAGGGGAGATTCTTGATTCTATTCTAGAGAAGAGCGTCCTGAAGTAGGGATACTGAATGGTTAGCATTTTCACTCTTTGCGTTTTCATTCTTTACATGATGCTGCAACATAAACTAGCCACTTTGTTATTGGACCTGCCCATCTATTCAATTTAGGTCATATACCGTTTCCCGTCCATTCAGTTAACCAGAGGTCGAGTTATCAGAGAGCCCAATTGTGGTCTGGAGTGCAGATAACCACTTATACAAAACCTATTTTTGTATAAAATTTGGCCACAACTTCATTGATTACAACAGCCAGTAGCCCCTGGCGCTAGCATAGGGGATGGATTCTCATCACCCATCCCACCTAATGTCTGATGCAGACCAAGGAGATAAATATAGGTTTAACCACATGGACGTAGGCCACAGTGTGGCTCTGCCTGCCCCCAAGGAGTGGAGGCATGCAAAAGCTCCTGAGCTGGGCATGCACGCGACCACCCTGCCCCATTAAAGGGCCTCAACCATGGAGGTCGTCCCTCACCCACGGTGCCCCAACCACAATCACTTGCTTTTGTCCACATGCTTCCAAAACACCCCCAACAAAGCTGTGACATGATTCTAAATAACATATTCCAACTCATTGTGGATGAACCGCCTGCTTTCCAGTACCCGCTTGTTTCTCACATGTGCAGCAACTCCCCCCAAACGACACAGAGTGGGTGGAAGAAGCTCAAGAACAAAAGAGATCTTTGGAATGACCAGCAAACAGTTGACTGGTCTGCCTTGGAAAATGCTACCACATGTGAACTATTCCCCTTGGCTGATTTAAGTCCCAGGTGGGAACAATGGTCTATAATGCGGTGTGTCCTGGGAAGAAGAACTGCTGCCAAAAATGGCAGCCACCACTCCACCTGCCCCCAATGAAACGAGAAACTCACCACCTATTTTATTCTCTCTTAGAATAAGGTTAGGATACGATAGTTAAATACCACACTGGGTATTTAACTATCTCCACTCAGCCATGTAGAGAGGGACGTGGTGGCACTGCAGGCTAAACCACAGAAGCCTGTGCTGCAGGGTCAGAAGACCAGCAGTCGTAAGAGCAAATCCACACGACGCTCAAGAACAAAAGAGATCTTTGGAATGATCAGCAAACAGTTGACTGGATCTGATAGCCCAGCACCCTTGGTGTGCCTTGGAAAATGCTACCACATGTGAACTATTCCCCTTGGCTGATTTAAGTCCCAGGTGGGAACAATGGTCTATAATGCGGTGTGTCCTGGGAAGAAGAACTGCTGCCAAAAATGGCAGCCACCACTCCACCTGCCCCCAATGAAACGAGAAACTCACCACCTATTTTATTCTCTCTTAGAATAAGGTTAGGATACGATAGTTAAATACCACACTGGGTATTTAACTATCTCCACTCAGCCATGTAGAGAGGGACGTGGTGGCACTGCAGGCTAAACCACAGAAGCCTGTGCTGCAGGGTCAGAAGACCAGCAGTCGTAAGAGCAAATCCACACGACGGAGTGAGCTCCCGTCACTTTGTCCCAGCTCCTGCCAACCTAGCAGTTCGAAAGCATGCAAATGCAAGTAGATAAATAGGGACCACCTTGGTGGGAAGGTAACAGCGTGCTGTGTCTAAGTCGCACTGGCCGTGTGACCACGGAAGATTGTCTTCGGACAAAATGTTGGCTCTATGGCTTGGAAATGGGGATGAGCACCGCCCCCTAGAGTCGAACACGACTGGACAAAAATTGTCAAGGGGAACCTTTACCTTTACCTACTCAGCCATGTAAGCTTAATGGGAGTGTGGAATTGCTAAAACCATTCCTTAAATATCTCTCTCACTTTGGGAGCCCTATTAGGGTCAATAGGTTCTGACTTGACAGCAGGCACACAACATTACACATAAAGATGGTTAAAATGAAGGTTCGTGTAAAATGGGGATCCCTGGTAGGATAGTTAGAGTAGGGGTCTGAGTGTAATTTAGATTGGAGGTGGAGAAATGGTGGCCTTCCCAATAGTGTTAGATTCAGACTCCCATCAGCCTCCAACAGCATGGCCAGTGGTGAGGGTTGGTGGGAGTTTAGTCCAACATTATGTAGAAAGGTCCCGATTCTCTAGTTCTGACCTAGAAGAGTGAAGAAGTATTCTAACATTTGGCCTGAACATGCATCCTTCTGGGGCCCTGGAAATGGAAATTGTGCCCTTGTTTGTCCTAGAAGAATCCGGATGATATTTGCAAAAAAGCAGAAGCATGACTAGAACAACAGGTGTGTCTTCCTGTGTAGACGTTTTGGTACAAGACATCCCACAGACCAGTTTTCTGTTCCTGGATTCAAGTTCCCCTCTGATAAGAGGTTCCCTGAACCGTGGATTTCTTCATGTATGCTTGCAGGGATAAGCATGCCGTTTGCCATGGGGTGGCAGATCTCTATTCTGTCTTTAGTCCTGGAGGAGAAACAGCAGGGGGAGAGAGGATTAAGCATCCTCATTTGCTTCTGCAATGCAAATTGACCCAATCAGACCTTCTCTCTTTTTAAAAAAAGTATAGTCATTATAAAATGTGTTTCTGAACTTTTCATACTCACTTTGTGTATTTTAATACTTCAGAGTGATGGTTCAGGCCAGGTTGGGGTGGGGAGGTCAGGGTGAGGATGGTGAGAACGTGAAAGGGGAAGCAAGTGTCTATGGGCTTTTCACAGGCACCTGGCTGGTTACTGTGCAGCAGAATGTTGTACTAGATAGTCCGATTAGGCAGGACTCTGCTTATCATTTTTAGCTGGGAAGAAAATCTGCAAGCGGGTATGAATCAGGCAGGCAGATAGTTTTTTACACTACTGGAAAGGTGATGGTCATGGGAACACACAACATGAATTTTGCTCAGACATGGAAAGAAATAAGTGTATACCTGTCAAAACCAGGTTTACAGGTATACTCAATTTCAGTGGGTCTGCCTCTAAATGGGGTTGCTCTAACATTGGTTTTAGCCCTTGATTTCTTCGTGCCTGTTCCTGGAATGTATATATCATTCTTCAGTTAGAAATGTTTTTTTCAAATACTGTATTTATCATTGTATCCCACTATCTATCTGTGGTGGGCAGCAAATGTGGTCCAACCAGCCAAAAGTTTTCCTTCGAAGAAGAGAGAAATTTTAGGGAGAGGGGAAAGAAAGAAAAGAAATAAATACCATTTTCAAAAGAGGAGTGCTCTGTTTCACCCTGTTTGGTTTACAAAACATGGCCCAGTATAGTCCTGTTAATCCCTTTTATTTTATTGCAACCAACAGCAAGGTCTGATGGGTTTATCCCGTTCACCATTTCCCGTTCCATGGGTGGAGTGAAGAGAAGGTGGATTTCTGTTCTGTGCTCCATTCCAGCCACCTTCAAAATCAGCCGTGGGAACCCTGTGTAGTAGGTTGGGCTGTATGATGGAGTGCAGGAGAGAGGAGGCGAAGGAGAACGTCAGTTGCATGAGCAGTAATCTGTTTGTGCAAAGTTAGTAGTTGGGGCATTAGGTGAGGATCTGAACAGTGTTCTAGAAAAAATAAATATAGAAGAGGTCTATAGGATGCCCTCAGATGACTTTTAGTAACTCAGACATTCCTAGTCGAAGGGAAATGAGGCAACAGTCTCCTGTGTGTAAAGGTTATGTGAGCTGTTCAGACACTAACATAGTGCAATGGAATCCTAATTTTAATCTGTTTTTTCCCCTCCTGTAAGGTTTATGAGGAGTTTGCATGGACTAATCCTCTTCATCCAGATGTATTCCCAGGTTTGAGGAAGATGGAAGCAGAGGTAGTAAGAATGGCTTGCTCTCTCTTCCATGGTGGGCCCAGCTCTTGTGGAACGGTAAGTTACACAGCATACTCTCACAATGTGGTCCTGCCTGTATATCTCAGTGTTAGCTGCAATAAGTATATATGTACAGTACTTTGCAGCATCTGGAAATTCATGTTTATATTAAAAGATCTGTTACTGGCAATTGTACCCATCTTCTTCACTCATCTCCAAAGCAAATTAGAACCAGTCTAAGTTTTGAAGGCTGCATTTGCAAACACTTAGAGTAATGCTTTGCATGAGTGCGTATGCAAAGAATGGATTTGATTTAAAACAATTTAAATTATGTATTCCTGAAGGCTTTCAAGGCTGGGATCTGCAAAAGGTCAATGAACTACCCAGCCACAAGGACCAGTGATCCCTACACACAAAAGACCAGCTAAGGACAAAGGTCAATGAACTACCCAGCCACAAGGACCGTGATCGCTACACAGAAAAGACCAGCTAAGGACAACCATCAATCACGGTGACAGATAATCTCTCTTCCTTATCACAACAATACAGACACAACAAAAACACATGGATCACCATAATCACTCATCTCCGCAACAAAAACATACTGATCACCATAATCACTCATCTCCGAAAAGGACAAAAGCTGATCCAACAGCTATAAATACTCAACTCCCAAACAAACTGCACCAGAGCACAGAGTGCTACTCCTATCCTCTGAAGATGCCAGCCACAGAGACTGGCGAAATGTTAGGAAGAACAACCTTCAGAACATGGCCAAAGAGCCTGAAAAACCCACAACAACCAGTTGAAATGCTGTTTCTCTGAAATCTCCATAAAGGTAACTCACCAGCAATGCAGCCTTTATTTTTGGAGTTACACATCAGTGCTGGGTTGTTTGGCCTGTCCTTTGACTGTAGGTAATGGCTGTCCAGGTCATTCTGGTCTGAAGTGATGGAGAAAAAAAAAGATTCACTTGCCATTGCAGTTATTTTTTAAATGGTTACAGTGTTTGTGAATTGAATGCTTCCTCTGGCACCCGTATTTGTTATAATTTGTACTTTCAGAATTTTGAGTGTCCTTGTTTTAGGGTAGACTGATAATACATGGAGAGAGCAAGCCCCATGTTCTGTTTTTTTGAATGGCTTGGTAGGTGTTCCACCATTTAACCTTGATGAGTTTCAAGGCCATGGCCCTCTTTAAACACAGCACAGGTGTGTTTTGAACCTTAAAAAACATGCCTGATTCATGACCTTAGGTGTATTATAATACCAAAATTATAACTCTGGTCCTCCTTTACATGCATGTGGCACAACCTGTTTGCAGCTTCCTGTGCAATGCCTTCAGGAATGTTTAAAGTGCACATAGTTTCACTTGACATCATTTAAAAACAATTTAACGTTTTAAGTGGATTATTTCTGACCAGAAGCAAACTACTTAAATAGCTGACGATAGAGCTTTAGCTTCCCAGCTGCCCCTGTCCTTTTTCTCTGGTAGTCTCCCTACTCTCCATCTCTTTCCACCTTGAGATGAGGAAACCCAAGGAAGGCAGAGGCGTGAGAGAAGCGATTGAGCTCACTCAGATTGTTCTCGCCACTTCCTGGCATGCAGCCCTTCCCTGCGGCTGTGCCTTTTAGGAAGTGTTACATCTTCATGCTACATGCACGCCATTTTCACTGTCACCATCTCCACACACATCTTCTTGCTTCAAAACCCAGTAGTTTGGGAAAACTGTCAGGGGCACCAGAAATAAGTACCTAAGTTTTCTCTATACACAGAAATCTATCCAATGCCTTGATAGGATTTTATGCATTTTATTAAAAAGGAAAAGAAAAATAATAGTAGCCACTGAAGAAACTTTATTTAGTGTATTAGCTAAACCGTGGTTCCTAACCTTGGGTAGCCCAGGTGTTTTTGGACTGTAATTCCCAGAAGTCTTTGCCACCAGCTGTGTTTGCTGGGGTTTCTGGGAGTTGCAGTCCAAGAACATTTGGGTCACCTACCTTTGGGAATCACTGAACTAAACAAATGGACAGTAGCAAGTGAAATGGTTATCTGTCTCGCTCGACTGCCATAACATGTAGTCTCCAAATAATTTTGACTCATTTAATGCACTGGGCCAGTGGTTCTTGAAAGTTATACAGGAGTAGCCACTGTTGAAGGTTCATCAGTAAATATATTAGAACAAATCCAGATTCCAAAGGTGATAATACCCTTATTAAGAGGACCTATAATAACTACATGATTTAAGTTCCCTAGAGCATTTTAGCAGCCTAAATGTTAAAAAAAAATGGGGGTGGGAGGAGGAGCATGGAAGTTCAAAGATGTAGTAACTCATTGAGATCTGCAAACATACTAAGTTCCAATGTGGAGTTTGCAGGTTTGATGAGTCATTGATGGGTATGCAGGTATCACAGGCCATCTGGCAGAGAAGAAAGCATGGTGGGGGTCCCCTGTTCTGGAAATATAAGGATGTGAAAGCTTGCATAGTTCTATATGTTTATAGTTGATCCTAAGAAAGATGTTATCTGCCTGTGGGTTTAAGATTTTGGATCAACAGGACTGTTAGAATTGCAAATGAACATATTACTTTAGTAGCAGTTTGTCTCAAAATATGTTTGTACCAGAATGATAAAGGAGTTGTTATACCTCATGAATTGGAAACTTGCAGAATGATTGGGGCAGGGGGAATTATGACCACAGACTTTTGCAGTCTAGAAAGACAGTGAGGGAATGATGAACAGTAGGATTTTTTGTGCTCTAGCATTATTTTCTTTCCAGTTACTGTTGGCATGTGGTGGATATACAAGGGGAGGACAAGGGATGTTGTCACTTAAAGTAATGTGTTTCTTGAGATTGCATATTAAACCCACCTAGGGAACAAGTGACTCTCCGATTGTCATCTGCCTGTGAGCAATAGTTCATCAGCAACGGAAGGGCCATAGCTTCTCATCCTTGAGATGCACAGTGGCTTTTGTTTTGATGCACAGTGTTAGAGCACTACCACTAAACAGCGCCTGTCTTATATTTTGCTTGTCCTATCCTAAGCTGCCCTCTTGCTGGTGGGTTAAAAGGAGCTGACACACAGTGTCTGAAAGCTTGTCAGCTGCTGGTGAATCACCTGATGTGGCTCAGCAGCACAGTATGTTGCCAAAGTCAGAGGGAATGTCCCATGACAGTGATTCATATAATGGCAAATGAAGGATGGTCTGTACTAGAAAACAGGACCCAACACTATAGGCTGATGTGAAGTACAAATTTGAAAGAGGTTGATTGAATCCTGTAAGGGACTCCTGTTCTGTGATTTGCTTTACTTAGAATTGTGCCCACACTGTTGCTTAGAAGTTGACATGGCCAAATGTATGAGAAACCCAGCTGAGTTTGACAGAGGAATCTTAAGCAAGGGATTTCTCTCTCATACACTTTTCTGCTGTTCTTAATTTCTCAGTAGTCTCAATAGTCACGTCTTATAATACAGTGGTGCCTCGCTTTACGGCGATAATCTGTTCCAGGAAAATTGCTGTTAAGCGAAAACGTCATAAAGCGAAAATAAAAAGCCCATTGAAACGCATTGAAAACCGTTGAGCGAAGATCCTCCATACGGAAGCCATTTTCGGTGCCTGTATAGCGAGGAATCCGTCCCTAAACTCAGCGGGGAGCCATTTTAATTACCCGGTGGCCATTTTGAAACTGCCGATCAGCTGTTAAAAACCATCGTTTTGCGAAAAATCGGTTCCCGAAGCAGGGAACCGATCATCGCAAAGCAAAAAAAAACCCTATTTAGCCCATCGTTTTGCGATTGCAAAAGCATTCGCAAAAACATCGTCGTGAAGCGGATTTGTCGTAATGCGGGGTAATCGTAAAGCGGGGAACGACTGTACAAACCTCTGCCCTTTCAGCTGTACAGTTTGTATCTGCGCTAGGTGGCCCAAACTCAAAACTTGTAACATTATTATAGTATATATATATATATTGAAGGAACTTGTTCTTTACTTATTTAATATCAATAAAACGACCTGCCACATTCATAGTAAAGTACTGGGAAATACCCATACCCTCTAGTACAGTGGTGTCCAATCTTGGCCCTCCAGATGTTCTTAGACTACAGCTCCCAGAAGCCTTCACCACCACCTCTGCTGGCCAGGATTTCTGAGAGTTGAAGTCCAAGAACATCTGGAGGCCCAAGGTTGGGGACCACTGGCCTAAAGGATGTAACCCCACCAATTTGCATGCATTCTGAGTGATCTGGACGAATCCCTCTCATAGGAGGCACAACAGAATTTTTGAGTTCCTGGACTCAGCTCCACATCCAGGCACTCCCACCCAAAAAAAACTATGCCAGCTCTGGACAGATGCACAGGTTAAAACACACCCTCCAGGATTAAAGTGTCACAGCAATCCCAGAACGAGTCTAAGCAGATGTCATTTTCAGTCCTTAAAGGCAAGAAAAGTTCCAAAGCAACATCTACATGCCATGGATCACTTGCACAACAGATAGAAAAGGGCTCTTAGTTGTCTCATCATGAGAAAACTATAAAAACTTTTTAAAAAGTTTCTGTTTCTTTTCTTCTCACGATTTATGTGGTTCCTGATTTTTGGAAAAGTTTTCTAATAAAGAGAAATTGAGAAGCTGTTGCAAGACCGATTTCTATCCAGTCAAGAATCAGCTGTTTTACATTTCAGGAACAAACTTGTTAGTTCTCAGAAACACACAGGAATATTACAGTAAACTGAGAAAGACAGGCTGAGCTTTATTTGAATAGTCAAATTGGGTATTTGTTAAGGAACAAATGGCCTGACATTATGGATCCAAGCAAATGCTTCTATTTTTTCATTAGAAATTCTCCAGAGTTTGACTGTAACTAGCTACAAGCAACGTGGTGACTTGGGACTAGTTTTTTTTTTTTTTTGAGGTTATTGTGGATATAGCTGAATTATGTTTCAAAACTAACACAACAAGTAATTACATACTTACTTTTAATATATTGTTATGTCCCATCAAGTCAGAACTGACCCTAACAGGGCTTTCAAAGTGAGATATTTTAGTGGCTTTACTAGTTTCACACTCCCAGTTTGTTTCCATGGCTAAATGAGGATTTAAACCCAGGCCTCCTGAGTTCTAGTCCGTTACTCTGTCCACTACCCCACACTGGGTATCTACTTCTGATATAGTAGATACCCAGTGTGGGGTAATGAATTATACTTGACAATATTTTCTAGTTATTTTAAAGCATTTTACAAGCATATTGATAGGCACTTTGCATGTTTTATGCAATTCTCTTATCAGTTCTAAGTGGCATGGCATGGATTGCATTGTTCCGTAATCAGTATGTTGAAGATACAGTATCAAAATTGGCTACTAGGCAGTGGTCCCCAACCTTGGGCCTCCTGATGTTCTTGGACTTCAACTCCCAGAAATCCTGGCCAGCAGAGGTGGTGGTGAAGGCTTCTGGGAGTTGAAGTCTGAGAACATCTGGAGGCCCAAGGTTGGGGACCATTGCTTTAGGCAAGTTTCATGGCCTCACAACGTCCCTAGAAGAAGAGACCAGCAATCCATTCCTGAGTAGAAAACCCTAAGAGGATAATTGTAAATTGGAATCAACCTGGCAGGGCGTAACTATTGATAATATCGGGTGGGCAACCTGTAGCCCTCCAGATATTGTTGTACTTCACCTCCCTTCACTATTGACCATTGGGTTGACTGGCTAGGACTGATGGCAGTCCAAAAGTATCTGGAGTGCAGCAGGTTGCCAGTGCTGGCATGTCAGCACAGGTGTGCACATGCCCACACATACCAACTTCAGTCTGTAGAGTCTTCTAAAACAGCTGGCCTGCTTATTTGCTTTTTCAGATCAGAGGTTTCTGAGAAGTAGTGGCCAAAACTAACTTGCTTGTATATTTCTGCATTCTTATGCAGCCATTCAAGAGTATGTATGTTTTTTTCATTTGTGCTTGACAGATGACCTCTGGTGGGACTGAAAGCATCTTGCTGGCCTGCAAAGCCTACAGAAGCATGGCATATGAGAAGGGGATCAACTGCCCAGAAATGTACGTACCTCTTATCTTGCTCGCTCACATTTTTACTGGTTGTACATGTATGTCACAAGGGTTTAATGTGGGAGAAACAAGCCTGGCCAGTTCCATAACTAATGTCTTCCCACTTGTACTCTAACAAGGCTGTGAGGAGAATTTATAAACATGGGTTCCATGTTTTATGAGCTGCAGCTTGCATGACACTTGAAGCTGGCAGATCTTGGTTTGTGTCAACCATGGCTTGCCTGAAACAATCCAACATCAAACTGTATGTTGAGCAAGAGGTGGGTTTGCCCCAACAAATTATAGTTCAAATGAGCTACAGTTTAGGGTTCAGACAACACCCTGAACTGAAGTTTGTCTAAAAGGAAAGTAAAATTTTCAGATGTCCACATGTCTGTACTAAGATGAAGAGGGTTACATTGTGAGCAGTCAGTCTCTAGTGTGTGCGTGGAGGAGACTCATTTGTACCATGATACCTGCCACCCCTTTTCCTGTCTGTATATAAATTGCAACTGCCCTCCCATGATTAATAACAAGCCTCAATGGGGCCATGTTACCTTTCCTTTTCGCCCGTGTCCAGTTACCACCTGTCCTGTTGCAGAGACAAGACATATGCTGAAGGATATGGGAACAAAAGCTGTCTGTTGTACACTGTTGTACAAGCCTGAATATTAATGGGCATAGTTAGGATCCAGAAAACTGCTTACTATATATCATGCTGAAGAATCTAGGTTTTTAGCATTAAGAATTACTATGAACACCCTCTTCCCTACCCCAAACTGATTTGTCTCTCAGCTTGAGGACTACTGTCTTAAAAAGCCTAGGTCCAGAGTTCTTCTGAATAAAAAGAAGTTCTTTAGAACAAACTTCCCTTTGTTTTAAACTTTATTTTTAGCGATAATAGTGTAGCATTTGAAACAAAGTTCAGTCAGCTTCGTATTTTAGTTAGTTGAATTCTTCTGTAGCCACCAAAGGTATAGTCACTTGATTATATTCACAAGCGATTGCAGGACCCCTAATTGTATCGTGATATGTGTGTATAATTTAGGAACAAATATACTTTTCACATGTTACTCAATGGAGAAACAACGTTGAGATAGAATCTTTTAATGGTGCATGCTTTAATATTACTGATAGTTCTACTATTTTAACACAGATTTCAGCCACTGCCCTCTACTGGATATTTTATAAGCTGCATGTTTTGTTGTGCTGTGTTATTTTATTTTATTTTCTGTTTATCTACTGTTTTGAGTTGTAGAACAGGACAAGGACAGAGATACATTTTGGGTGGTACTGGATGCATTTATTTTCTGTTCGTTTAAATCTTTGTAACAGGTGGTTGTTGTCCTTTTTCAAGCAACTCAAGACTGAGTGGCTGAGATTAAAAAGAAAAAGAAAATGCTGGATGCTCCTCTGGATGTACTCTAACACTTAGAGGCATCTCCCTTTTGATGGTGCCCCTGTGTTAAAAAAGCTGCCTTTCATGCAAGATGCAGAAATTACATGGGAAGAAGTCAAAATTCCTGTTTGGCATCTGCAGAGAGATCTGGATAGCAGTTATTCCTTTGCTGTGCTGCTAATGGGGTTAAAGGAAGGACTGAATACACTGGCTCATTTTACCATGGACACACACACCCCTCCCTTATGGTAGAGTTCAAGAAACCCTTACTTGACCACTGGGTGAACATGAAGCTATGTTATGTTGGGCATGTCACTCTCTCAGCTAGAAATCATTCATCACTGTTTTTGGTTTTGTGAAAAACCAGACAGGAAGGGGGCACCGATGTTGCCTTGAATTCTTAAGAAGAAAGCTGAGATATAAATGTAACAAATAAAACTTAAAAGATGCTTCACTGGGTGAACATAATTTTTTTTTATTTTAGGGCCATGTTTTGTTTTAGTTTTTTCCCCATTTAATTTTGTACAGGAAAGAGGAAGCGATAGCAGGATGGCATGATATGTGTGTACAGTGGACCCTTGACTTACAGACGGCTTGACTTACAGACTTTTTGAGTTACAGACTTCTCTAGCTGCAAAATTTAGGTTTGACTTGCAGACTTAGATTTGACTTACAGACCAGAAAAAACCCAAAATGGTACAAAAACGGCCTGTTACGGGATTAATCGGTTTTCAATGCACTGTAGGTCAATGGAGACTTGACCTACAGACTTTTTGAATTGAGAACCGCCTTCCAATACGGATTAAGTTCTCAAGTCAAGACCCCACTGTATAATATGTGTGTATAAAAAGGGCCTTTTTGGCAGCTGCCCCCAGACTATGGAACACCATCCCGAAGGAGATTCGTCTGGCGCCGACGTTAATGATGTTTTGGTGCCAGATCAAAACCTTCCTATTCCAGAAGGCTTTTAATTGAAATAGTATCAACTGTGGGTCCTGATGGCAATTTTTAGAGTATATATTTTAATTGTATTTTAATTGTTTTATCTTTTTTTCTGTATTTTAATTGTTGTAAGCTGCCCAGAGACCATTGGGTAGTGTGGGCAGCATATAAGATACATACATACATACATACATACATACATACATACATACATACATACATACATACATACATACATACATTCATTCATTCATTCATTCATTCATTCATTCATTCATTCATTCATTCATTCATTCATTCATTCATTAGAGGCAGCCACAGATCATTTTCTGAAATGGACTGCTTTCTGTTTTCCTTCCCAGGTTGGTTCCCCAAAGTGCACATGCGGCGTTTGATAAGGCTGCCCATTATTTTGGGATGAAAATTGTGCACATTCCCTTGACCAAAACGATGCAAGTGGATGTTAAGGTACCCATTCTTGTGTTTTGCAGACATCTAGCAGTAATCAAATAGTGGATATAATTATGGAACGTCATTTTGACAACAAGAAAATAAGTGGTTAGAAAATAATTTTCAGCAGTGTCTTTAAAAAATCCTTTTGAGTTCTGAAGACTGAGATGCAGAAAATCTTGAGTACCCAGTAATTTTCTCTTACATTTTCTAGGCAATGAAGAGGGCCATTTCTAAAAACACAGCTATGTTGGTCTGCTCAGCACCCCAGTTTCCACATGGGGTTATGGATCCAGTTGAGGAGGTAGCAAAGGTAACTTTCTTGGTTTTTCCCCCTTATGAAGTTTACTCAAGTAATTATAAACACTTGGCTTGCAGTCCTGGAGAGCACATATTTTTGAGATCCTCGTTGTTGGTTGCAAGAAGGAAAGCTCTGTAAGCACACAAGGTTTTTAGCTCCTTCTGTAGCCTATAAAAGGACAGCCCAGGAATATGGACACAGTCTCATCTCTTGTACTGCAGCAGATATTCAATAAATATGTGGCCTTAAGAAGAAAATGCGGAGTTCTGTGTTAATTTGCCTTGTCTACACAAGGGAAGATTTCTGAGTTGAAAAAAAAAGTAATTACAGTCTTTATTGGGGAAAGACGGTTTTGTACATTGGAACTGTTTGTTCTTGCTGTGATTTGGGTTTTGACTCTTGTGTTCTGTGCCCTCAAGTCAGAACCAACTTATAGGGACCCTAATAGGACTTTCAAGGTAAGTGGGATATTTAAGGAGTAGTTTTCCCAGTTCCACTCCCCCAGTAAGTTTCCATGGCCAAGCAGGGATTTGAACGTTGTTCTTCAGGGCCCTAGTCAGTCACTATCAACTACAACAAGGGTCCCCAACTCCCCGGTCCATGACCTGGTGCCGGTCCATGGACTTTCAACTCCCAGTCCATGGCCTGGTGCCGGTCCATGGGCTTTGCAGGACCGAGCCGCGGAGACAGATCTTCTGCCCCCCCCTTGCATGGTGGGTGTGGTGCCGTCACGCACATGCGTGGCTGAACAGTTGCATTCACGGGTGGACGTGGCGCACTCACATGCCCCACTCACCTGCAAGCGTGCCACTCCCATGCGCATTGTGGTGCCGTCACGCACATGCGTGGCTGAGCAGTTGCATTCGCGGGTGGGCGTGACGCGTTTGTGGGTGGGCGTGGTGCACTCACGTGCCCCACTCACCTGCAAGCGTGCCACGCCCATGCGCACGAGCATGCCACACCCATCCAAGAATGTGCCATGCCCATCCGCGAATGTGTCACACCCACCTGTGAGCACGGGGGTGCTCCTGCCCCCCCCGCGCACAGGCCCCCAACCCGTCCGCAGTTCTGAAAAGGTTGGGGACCCCTGCACTATAACATACTGGGAATCCTGTGTTGACTAACTCCCTGCCAAAATCGCTATGCCCCCATACGGTTGCAGTTGAGCCAATGAGGCCTGGGACCAGCTATGGTAGGGCATTCTGTGCTCAATGCAGAACAAAGAATGTTATAATTTATGATTGTCTCTTAGAAATAAATTTCGAAAAGATATGCAGGTTTCTGTTTGGGCGCACAGATGTATACATTAAATGTATTCTCACCTCCTCCTGCTGTCATTCTCTGGCACTGATCTAGGAATTTGAGAGGCCTTAATTGTCATGTCAGATTGGTCCTGCCCAAGGCATGGATGTCATTAGGCGATAGCCTGGAAGAAGTCCTGGACTGGATCTATTTCATCTCCAAGGAGCGCTGCAGAAGCCCTAGAGGCTGTGCCTGTCAGTGTAGACCTGGGGTGTAGAGTGGAGTGTGAGGGAGAAGGGTGGCCCACAGAGAGGTAGAATCCATCTTGTGGAGAATCCTGGGTCATCTGTTCCTCCACCCCTTCCCCCAGCCCGTCCCCCTGTAGGTCAGGGAAAGGCAGGGTGATGGTGGAGAAATTCCTGTTGTTAACCACTTCTGGTCAGAAGAGAGACAACTGCCCAAACTTTACTGCTTTCAGTGTTTGTTTTTAATGTCATTTGGCCCGTATGTGTTGTGGTGGAGAATCTGCCATTCTCCATTTTCGTTCCCCAGTATTTTGCAGACAAGGCAGAACAAACATAGACTAATTCAGTTCAGCTTGGCATAAGGAAGTTTCTGATGTTCCATGCTAGTTTAAGTGTCCTCTAGCTGGACTATTGTATCTGGGAAATCCGTACATTAGGTTGCAGAAGGAGCGGTCTGGACTTTGCCAACAAAAGAAGGGAAATCCTTGAATATTTTCTTATAAGCCTGTTCTGGACTTGAAGCAGCCCATTATTGACGTACAACTTCTAGTTGACCTCAATAATATTTTAGTGCATGAGTGTTTAGAATTTACAGAGAAAAAGATGTAAAAAGCATGACCAACTTGGGTGGAACTTCTTCACTTGTAGCCTACAATTAGAGATGATGGATTTCAAAAAACATTGATGGATTGTTTTTATGGGAGAATGCTTGGATGTTTCCACAGATGAAATCCAAAGTATGTTTGATGGTTTGAAACTCAGACTCTGCAAGTGGTGCTTTGATTTAGCTTAAGAAATTAAACAAGTTTATTTCTTCTCTTGACATAGCTGGCAGTGAAATACAATATTCCCTTCCACGTTGATGCCTGTCTAGGAGGCTTTCTTACCGTCTTTATGGAGAAAGCAGGGTTCCCTCTCCAACACCCGTTTGATTTCCAAGTGAAGGGTGTCACAAGCATTTCTGCAGATACCCACAAGGTGAGTTGAAACAAATCTGTTTGGCACTTTGAATTTATGCACTCTCTAAGCTGGACCAGATGTGTCGCTTTCTTGAATTCTGCTTCCAGGCAAGATCTCTTTGTGCTAATTCTCTGTAAAATATGGAAACAGTACATGGTGTTATAATTAAACCTGCAACCCCAGATATTGTGATTGGCATTGAGAAAACTATAATCCTCAACCTGTGTACTTCAAAGCGGACATCAGGGAAATGGCTGGGAACAGATTCGGAATGAACATGTTTAGGATCAGTGTATAAGGATAAAGATAGGTAGTTCATAGTAGATTTTCCCATGAAACTAATAGTACAAGAAGGAAGGGAATGGGCATGAATAGAAACACTGCTTGCATTCTCTTTCAGAGGTTAGATTGTTTGGCACTGGGGAGTGTACGTGATCTTCCATCCTTTGAGCAAGTTGACATCTGTGAATTTGATACACATTCTCTCTTTGAAAGAGAAATTCTGAACATCAACAGTTTGAAGGCTCTGTAACCAATGTGATGTTTCAGTCTTTGAGTGTGGAATTAGTCATTTGGCAGTTCTGCCTAGTGGCTCCCAGTTGATGAGGTTTGAACCCATCGGTCAAATTCATCCTTCACAGGACTTGGGGGGTGGGAGGGGTTGATACAAACAACTATGTTGATCCTGCAGCTCCAATGCCTTCCTCCTCCTTTGCAGTATGGCTACGCTCCAAAGGGCTCCTCTGTGATATTGTACAGGGACACGAAATATCGCCAGTACCAGTTCTTTATTGCTCCTGATTGGCAAGGAGGGATCTATGCCTCCCCTACCATAGCTGGTTCCAGGCCTGGTGGACTTATTGCAGCCTGTTGGGCCACAATGATACACATGGGAGAAGATGGTTATGTCGAGGCCACTCGGAAAATAATTTCAACAGCACGGTTCCTGGAATCAGGGTATGTAGCAGATTTCAACTTTTGTCCTGTTAAATTCTTCCCTTTCCTGTCCCAGGACTGTCCCTTTCAGAACAATAAACAAAAGTACAAAAATATGTTATGAGGAAGTAAAAAGCTGGTGTGGTGTAGTGGTCAGAGTATTGGATTGGGATTTAGGAGATAAGATTACTAGCAGAATGACACCCTAATGTGTTCTACAGTCAACACTGGAATTGTATTACCTCAGAAGGCTGCATTTACAGCACATCATAGTGCCCCAAATTGGCCACAACTGAATTATGGAAGACTCCATTCTCCCTTTTCTTCAGAAAGAACCAATGCAGTATGAATTCTGAACCTGTATGTTTGTTCACCATCTTGGATCTTTGTAGCAGTTTTTTTTCCCTTCCTCCTAGGGGGAAGTCCTGATCCACCCATTGTCAGAAATAAATGTATTTAGGGTCCATGCACATTCTGCCTTTTGCCACTATAAAGAGAAAGGATGAAACATATTTCCAAACCTGTTATCTTTTTAAGGCTGCGGGAGATTGATAACATCTTCATCTTTGGGAAACCTGAAGTATCGGTTCTTGCTTTGGGGTCTGACATATTTGACATATATCGGTTGTCAAATCTACTGATATCTAGAGGATGGAACCTGAATGTTTTGCAGTTCCCACCAAGGTGAGTTCACTAGGATGCTGGGCATAGCTGGAGGACTAAAACAATGGCTTGTGTCATCCATGTGGTCCGGTGTCCTGCTTCTCACGGAGCTAAGCAGATGTCTATGTCCGAAACCTACAACTGGGATGTGAGGGTAGTTGTCATTTTCTGTTTTTCCAGCAACTGATGTTAATAAGCCATGAGACTTGTGATCTTTGAGGGTAGTAGATAGGCAGCATGGTTAATAGCCATTGAAGAACTGATGGACAGCTCAATGATTTAGGCATCTGGCTTTGGAGCCAAGTTTTGGGGAGTTTGATTCCCCATTGTGCCTTTTTGACAAGGGCTGGACTTGATGATCCATAGGGTCCCATCCACCTCTGCAGTTCTAAGATAATGGTGATGATGCTAATGATAATACAGTAATCATATCCTCCTTGTATTTATCCAGTCCCTTTCTGAAGCTATCCAGGTTTTGGGGCAGGATTACAGTTTAATAATCATTTTAATTACGCACTATATGAAGATTACTTCCATTTCTGTATTCTGAAGCTTACACTGTAATAGCAAAAGTAAACCCCAATTTATGCATTTTAGTTAAGTTGTGGTGACTTGTGTTGACAGAAAAGAAAGTTAATCCTCAGTGTAACATTTGTTGCATATGAAATCATTGTATAAACTAAGCAACAATGACTAGGAGATGTAAATGTGTTTTATATGAAATAATGTTATCTCCAAACAGGCACAGGAAGTGTTTGATTGAAATTCTTTCAAAGAAGTTACTTTGTAAAGTCAGGATTGTCAAGTTTGCTTTTTTTTAAAAAATGATGATGATGTAGCACAAAACTAGAACTTCAAAGCAGCATATTACAAGTACTGGCACTACCTATAACACATTACTTTGGGGGATAAGAAGGGCACCATTTTATTTTTGGTAAAGAAATAGAATAGCTGGTAAGATTACTTTTTAAAAATGCAACCTTTTTTGCTACTTGTAAAAGATAATTTGGGGGAATTTTAGTTACTTTGTTTGGCATACTTTCAAATAGAAAAAAAAGTGTTAGCAATGTGGCACTCTTTAAATAATGAGCAACGTGTCACCCCACCCCTGGAAAGGCAGACTTGTGTTAATGTGTTACTTTTTAAAAATAACGGTACAGATTCTGCATTGAGCACCTGTATGGTGTCAACACAAGTGTCAGAGATGAGAATGAGTTTTCACACATGGTTGTAGATGTATCACAAATGCATTAATTTGTGCTGGAACATAGCAAGTTTTTTTAAGGTGGAATTTGTGAACAGCGCACATTCTGGCACTGTTTGCTTTGTTCTTCTGCCTTTTTTGTATTCTGCTAAACCCAGTTGCCTCACAGCTGTGAGCTGTCCTTAGGCAGCTCTTTCTCAGAACCAGGTAATGTCCTATTGCTGCCAGGAAAACATTTCATAAGCTTAATTTTGAAATTAATTTAAAAGCAATAAGGATCACAAAAGACAACAGCCCACACACAAAGTATACGTCTCTCTTGAACTCCATGACCTAGAGCTAACTGCACAAGGCTGAAGCTTCTGTTTTGCAGAAGAACCCTCAGCCAACCAACTAGGATGGCTTCTCAGTGGCTCCATCAGTACTTATCTCACACCCTATTTCTGCAGTAAATAAATTGGCATGCGAAAAATTAAGTGAGGTATTCAGTGGAGTGAGGTCTGCAACGGTTGCAACAAAGAACTGTAGTTGTGCCACATTTTTCAAAAACATTTTGGAAGTACAGCCAGCTCAAAAGGATTCTGGAAATTGTAGTTTTATGAGAGTGGGCTCGGTATTTCCAGCACCAGCAGAACCATTTCACAAAATTCTTCCAAACTCATTAAATAGCTTTGTGGGATATAGTTTCACCACTGTGTGTTGGCAGTAAATGTCATGAAGCGTGCTTGTGGAAATAATAAATAAATAGCCCAGAATCCTTTTGTTCCAAACCTTGTGCAAAATGACCCTTTCTGCATGAAGGATCTCTTTCGCTGCCTCTTGTGCTTGAGGTGTGTGTGTGTGTCAGGATTCACAAACCGCTTGTGCAAATGAACAGGGCAGTCTCCAGGGTATGCAGAGATTGCACTGAATGCTGTGCCAGTGGAGAAATTATGCTCCCTGACTGGCAAGAGGGTTACTAGCTGATAACTTTAAAAGGATTAACAAATATGGATCACAAGGAAGCCTAGGACTCATGGCAGTGGCTGGGTGGGGAATAGGAAACTTTTAATTAACAAAATACAGCTAATGACATAATTGGGCTTATGCAGCATCATTTCCTGTTACTGGATTTCAGCCACTGTGTGAGTAACATGTTAAGATTAAATCAGCTGACTTAATAATAAACAGAAGAAGAAATGCTTCCTATACAGGCTTCTCCAGCTCCATTGCTTGGGCTATGTAAGAAAGCCTTGATGTTCTCCATGTCTTAGAAAGCCTGATGGGTCACCTCTGCCTCCCAGGTTCTGTCATAAAGTAGGCAGTGCTGTTTTGTTGTGCCCTCCTGTCTGATATGCTGAAGCTGTGCTACCCCTGATTTACTAATGCTTGGCTAAGGTGTAGTGTCTGACTGGGTAGGCATCATAGCAGGAAGATACTGGGTAGACCAAAGCTTCATTTTCTTTCCTCTGAACTGCCAGGCAATATAGTTGCCAAGTCCTTCCCCGTACATCAACATTTTTGTTCATGCCTATTCATTTGAATAAATCAAGTTCTTCTTGGGGCTCCATTTTTTCTGTCTTCCTGTAATTCTCTTCCTGCTTGATTTCCTGCTCCAGCATAGGGCATATGGATTAATTGTATCACTATGAATATACGTATTCCTCCTTCTTTTTACACATACATACCTACTTGTAGTTCTCACTGCATTGTATAGCTAAAACCATTTGCTACACTGCCCCATATTGTTCCAATTGGAACTTCAAAGGGGATGATGGCGGTGCTTAATAATCTGGCTTCTCCACCCCAGCCACCAGAAAAAGTAGCTGACATTACAGGTACAAACGAGAATTTTGTTGCAATGGAAGAAAAAAGTCACATTGTAGCCTCTTATATTTCAGTGTTAGAATGTGGAAGGCACCATTACAGAACATGGATATTTCACTGTAGGTCGAAGAGCTTGTAAGAAATAGCTTCTTCCTCAGGAGTGGCTTAAGTAATTGAACAAGTGGGAGAAAAAAAGCATAGCCAGTACTTAACTGTTACATTCACACATATTAACAGCTAGAACCAATCTGTACTTGAAAGCAACATAATTAGTGTATTCCATAAGCAAGTTCGACATATAAGTAGTGGAGAAAAACAAGATACTTATTTTCCCAGGGGTTTTCAAGAAGGAAATTACATGCAAATTGGGCCAATTGAATCAGTTGGGATTTCATGAGCCAATTCCTCCATAAACACTAATGGGCTACTCTAGTTGTGACTTACTTTGGCATAGTGAATTGCAGTTAGTCCAATTTGAATCAAATGGAGTTAATTCACTCCCAGAGCTGACACACCAAATCCCCATTGATTCAATGGAGCTATTCTAGTGCAACTTACTATGTTAAGTAACAGGATTTGGGCCACTGTTATTAAACAAGTGGTTGTGCCTTATTGTGGAGAAAACCGGTGTATGATCTTCTGCCATCTCTTTCCTAGCATTCATATTTGCTTAACACTACTGCACACAAAGCCTGGAGTGGCACAACTTCTGTTGAAGGATATTAGAGAGTGTGTCGATGAGATCATGAAGGACCCCAAAGCCAAAACCACTGGCATGGTAAGGAGACCAGTGTTTTCATTGAGATAATTGAATTGAATTTATGAGATCTGGTGTCAGGAGTGAGCTGGATGAAAGCAATTGAAGGTTCAGACTCCTTTATCCGAGCACTTATCTTGCAAGGAAACCATAACAAAGCCCACATAAGAAACATGATTAAAATAATGTACAAATTTAAAGGCAGAAAGGCTGCAGTTAAGGGGAGGCCTGCATGCATGAGCTGTAATAAGATACTCCAAAGTCTTAATTTAAATCCGTAAGGCATTGGTATCTATATGCCACAAACCCAAATGTTGAAAGGCTTGCAGAGTACTTGCAAAATCCAGGGGTATTGCGGGGGGTACTCCTACATACACACTTATACCTGGATGCCTCTTGTTTCTGCCTAGCTGAAGATTGTGCAGCAATGAAACCCATTGCTGAAGATGTCTGACAGCTATCTTAGTTAATTCTGCATTATACTATTATTTATTTTATTTAAATCCTATTTAAATTATTGGCTCTGTGCGGAGGTGTGCTCTAAATTCTCCAGGCAGCATGGTTGCTGGCCATGCCACCTGGTAGATTCTGGGGGGAGTTGTCCAAGATCACCAGTCTACAGATTCTGCCCTCTGTTACGTGGGACAGCCATTTAGTACTGTTCAGAAACTGGACACGGTTCAAAATGTTGCCGCGGGGCTATAGAGCCAATGCTAATTAATTATAGGGGAGCATGTGATTCCAATCTTACCACAGTGGCTGCATTTAGCTCCTTTATAGCATGGGATCAGGCTGCCAGAAGGATTTACTTCTTCTGTCTGAGCCTCCCTGGGTGGTGAAATTTAGCCGGGGCCTTCTCTTTCTTACAGCAAAACATGGTTGTGTGTTTGGCAGGAGCTTAAGAGTGTTCTTCGTGACCCAGATTTGTACATTCAATAGTAAAGGATGCTCATCTAGCCCCTTGTTAATGGCCTTTCATCAGCAGTCAAGTCCCTTTTTATTTAAAGAGGCACTTAAGTCTTCAATCTGGTCCACTTTTCTCTATCATTCTGTGCTTTCATCTGCAATAGATTTTTTTAACTTAATCATATTTTATCTGTTTGTTATGTTCTTAGCATTTTATGTTTGATTTTTTTTTTATAATGTACTGGATTTTATTGTTAGTGGCTTCTAGATGTTTTCAGTGCCAAGGAAAGAAATGGTTTAAATGTAGCAAATGCATTTGAAAAAAAAAATGTTTAAAAGCTTGGGATTGAAAATGCACTCCTATTTATTAGTCTTCATGTTTTTCTTGTGTTTGAATTTCTAGGGTGCTATCTACGGCATGGCACAAGCTATACCTGACAGGAACATGATTTCAGAGATTGCCGGTGCTTACTTGGACTGCCTTTACAGCACAGATGTTCCTCCTCCAGCTGATGCACACATGAATGGTTCTTTGGGCCATCAATAATTCTGAAGCCATTTGTGCCTTTACTGCTGGGTGGCATAGTAAAGATTTCTAGGGGAAGACAAACATCATCCTGCAGGTGCAGGTCACGTGGCAGCTTGATCATCTCTTTCATAGCCCCTCTCCCCCCCCCCTTTATGGTGGACACAGGCTTCGCAAACTTTCCTGGGCAATTTATATCTGTATATTCTCACAAGTCATCTCTCTTTTAAAACTATCTGTATTCCTTTACATGCTAGCTCACTGCTGCTGCTAACCCTCAAAGGGATAGCCATACTCATGCCAACACAAGTCTATCCCATCAGCCTTTGTGCTCAGGTGTTGGAAATCTATTAATTCCTTACTTTTGCTTCGTTGACACGTTTTTTGTGTCAGACAGCAAGCCTTTCAAGACATTTGGCTACTAACACTCTCCCCAGATTTTGGGATAAAAACTGGAAGTGTGTGGTCTGGGGTTTGGACCGTTGGATCATTCCAAACAGATGAGGGGAAGGAGGCTTGAGGAAGACTATTGCTTTATTTCCTGTGTCCACCATATTGTATTCTTACTGCTTTCCTTTTCTCCCTGAAATTCTTAAAATGCCACCCACCATCCTTGCGAGTTGTATGTATCCTGTGGAGGCACTGAGGGCAAAATAGTTCTTCCATTTGCTCCAGCTTCGGAAGCTGCACTCTGACAACAGAGTTAGAGAGGTACTGGCGATTCTTGGGTTCTGGCACCAGAATTGGCGAAGACACCCAGATACTCAAGTTGCTTCACTTATTGACCATGCAATTTGTCTTGAGTGCTTTTACAGAAGTGTGGCGCCAACATTAAGTTTCAAAATGTACTTGTGACCGAAAAGGGATATCTCTGCCCCGGTTTTATCTCTTCTGCTACTTTGACTGTAAGGCACATTGTTGAGTGGGAGCTTGTAGATTTGTCTTAACACTCAGAGCATTCCTCCTGGGAAGCCAGAAAAGTGGGCAGAAGACTCTATTGGTTAACAGGTCCTTAGCTCTCCAGCAGGACTACACTGAAAATGACCTCATTGGAAAAGCAGCCTCAGGGTATAATACATTCCACCTTCAATGTGTCATGTTGTCTGAGCCAAGTGTATTTTAGCAGAGAACACAGCCCTTTAGAACTGTGACATGGCTAGCCTGTGTTGCCCAGTGGAGTGTTCTTAATTGTGTACTGACTCTATCTTATGGTTCAGATTGCTTCTAGAATATAGCGGTTGTTCCTGATTGAAATTCCTGTGACTTAAGGGCAGACACCACTAGCTTATTCCAAGGCATGAGGATGTGCCATGGAATACAGTTGCTAGTCAGATCTTGAGCCATTTCTGTCAGTAGATCACATTAAGTTTTCATTACCTTTGTGTATCAGTACTTCCATCAGGGAAGCATAGCAGTGAATTCACAGCAAGGTAGACATGTGAAATGAGTGCTTTTTCTCCCAGCTAGTGCTACGTGGTTCTTAACGTATTCGTGCTGGAAACAAAAGTTGAACTTTTTCACTGTTGTGAATTATGGGAATAATAGCGTTGCCCTTTCCCAGCTGTCTTTCTCTTTTAATTGTGAAAGAAGGGGACACAAAGCAACTTCAGTGCTACCGCTTGAGATATCTGTATGAACAGATAGAATTACTGTATGTTTCAGCCAATGCACAGGTACGGTTTCCATAGCACTGCACTATATTATTTAAGAAAGGGAAATATTTGTCATTTCTTAACCATGTTTATAATTTCACTCCTGAAGCCAGGTGTGTGTGTGTTTTCCCCCATTTATGTTGTAGGGTACAACAAAGCTCGATTCACTTCCTATTGGATTTGGGTTGAGCTTTGTAAATCAGGAAATCAAGTCCTGTATGTGTACTACTGTGTCAGTAGGACACAACCTCAGTAGTACTTTATTTTCAGCAATATCCCTGTTTACTTTGTTATGCATCATGTGTACACTTTCAGGTTTAAAAGAAAAAAAATAAAATTAGGAAGGAAATATTTACTTTTAAAATATCGTCGAACAATTTCTGTGCAAGGTTACATCAGAAACATAAAACTGCCATCACCAGCGTGTTTGCACATTAAGAGGTGGAAGAGTTTGTACTCAGCCACTGTGGCCTTCGTTCTTGAAGAACTATCTGGTCTTTCACGGATCATCAAGTGTTATTACAAATGAAGGTCTTTAACTTTGTTTCAGAAATGTAAATACTGTGTTCCATTTTCATTAGATGCCACTCAGACCTTGAAGAAAATTACATGGAACATTTTACCTTAATGTCTCTGCCTAGCATTTCTTTTGAGTGCACGCAAACTTTTATGGCAGTCAGTCAGAAAAAAATCCAGACCTGTGTTTGACTCCTGTAGCAGATGGGCCTGGGCAGAAGCGCCATGAATGTCTACTGGTAGCTGGTAAGGTAGGTACTCTGCCTCGGTCTGGCAAGAGTGTTGTGGCCCCCAGCTGTTCACCAATAGCGAGACAGTGATTTTACCATCTAAATAAGGCTACTGCAATAAAAACTGCTAGGGGTAACCAAGAGTGGACTTGTGGAAAGGACTGGTTTGGTTGCTGTACTGAACATAACAAATCTCTTGGGCCAGAATGCACCCTAAAGCACCCTGTTCCTTAATTTTAAACATATGCATTTTGTGTCCAATGGATCGACTATAGATGTGACAAGCTGGAAGTCTGCCCAGCTTTGGCGTATTCTAGCACAGGCTTGTTAACAGAAAGAAAGTAAAACTCGAGTAACAAGACCAAGAAGAAACATTGTAAACGGGTTTTGTCTATATAACACACAAACCAGCTTTATTGTGAATAACAGCAGCATAGAGTAGCTTTCCACTGTGCTGCCATAATACTGTCTGAACAAAAAACTACAGGGTAACAACAACACTGGATAGGGAGATACTGTAGCTTGCTGCAAGACGGAAGGCTAATGTAGTTGCTAAACACTGACACTCGTACCTCTGTGTAACCATCAAACCACAAATTAATAGGGTGGCTGCACTGAAAGGTGTAAATCTTGTTAACTCCATAAAACCATTGATGCTGGATTATCACATGATGTCTTCTGCCAGTACAGTAGACTTGTCTGCTTGGGCACTGTATTTGCAGAGAGGGGGAGGACAGCAGATGGCTGCCTTTAGGATAGTGTGCTTGCAACTTGCTCTATGAAACTGGCCAAGTTGATGTCCCGCTCAGATAAGCCTGCACACTCATGTGTGCTTAAGGTGATATGAACCTGAAACACAAGAAGTGTCTCATTAGCGCAACTGCAATGTTTATGGAAGTACAGCGAACAACCTTCAAGACTACAGATATCCCAAAGAATTATGACATGTTCAAATAGCATCACAGGAGCCACCAACTGTTTTAAAGGTTTTACCCTGCTATCCCCAGCATTCATCAGTGCAATTTTAGATTAGGGCAGGAAAGTTGTTTCAGTTTTCCATGTGCATAATGGAACTCGCAAACTCTGTTCTTGTGTTCTTTGGGTTGCCCCACCACAAAACTGGTTGCAGAACCAGAGAAAAAGACCTGGCTCATTAGACAGGCAGCTGGGAAGACAGTCCCCATTGCTCCCATCATTGCCTTTAACACAACTGTGTCAGCCAACAGGATTTTAGCCATGGTTCACGTCACAAGTATTAGAAGACAGATTTCATCTCAGAAAATTTTGAAGATTTCTAGTACTACTTGCAGTTGAAACCTTAATCCTTCACTGCAAAAGCACTACAGAGGCCTGGCACAGGAGATCAGCTTTTCAAATTGACCAAGAGCCAGACTACACATTATATTACAAGCAGAGGTAACACATTTCCTGTGGACTCTTCTCCTTTCCTTGCACTGCAAAAAGGAGAAAGAGCAAGAGAGGGAATCCTTTACTACCTTCATCAGCCCACTCCTGCTCCTTTCATTCCTGCCCACAATTCAAAGCATCACCAAACTATCAGGCAAAAGTAGGACTTAGGTAGTTAACATGGTTAAAAAGCAGGTGGTGGGTGAGTGGGTTGAAATGGGCAAAGAGTAGTTACACACCTCACACCCCATTCCAAGCCTAGTCATGCAAGAGCCCTTTAGCTAAACTTGAACCACCAGCTCTTTTTCCTTACCTTGTTGTAGACATTAAACCATTCAGGGTGGTGGTCCAGTTTTTCTGCCTGTAGAGCCACTCGGGTCATAAATCCAAAGGCCTGCTTGTAAGATGCAACGGATAGTTTAGGAAAGCATGGTAAGCTTCATTCTTCAAATGATGACACTCATTAGAACCATCTGCTGGGCTTTGCTTTTACCTATACTATAGCCAGTCATTAACCATCAATAAAGTTCAAAACAGGTGGTCCCTTTCCACTTGTAGGGCCACACTTATGTTCCCCTCATTGTTCACAAAACAGTTCCTTTAGTTTCCTATTCACTAAAAAGCACCTGTAGGAGGTTACAATAGCATAGGGTAGCTTTTCACTATGCTGCCATAATACTGTCTGAACAAAAAAACCTACAGAGTAGGGTTTTTTTTGGTGGCTTTTTACTTTGTGTTTTTTAATGAATGTGGATGATACTGAGGCCCCCTCCAAAAAATAGGAAAATTGCTCCCACAGCCCCTAGCAGGTACAAAGAACTTTGAACAAAATCTTTGTTTAAAAATGTTTTTAGAACTTGGGGGGAACATATGGCCTGTGGGCTTCACATTGCCGAACCTGTTCCAACAATACATCTCACTATACCATTCTTTGTGAAACTCAGGTTTCTGTATTCCTTAGAACTCCCATCATGCCTTACCATTGGCTGGGATGGCTAGGGAGGATCCCAGCTGTGGTTGAACAACAGCTAGACAGCTGCAAGTCGCCTGCTGTGGCTCAATTACAGTATTAACATCAGAAAACTGTTGTAGGGGCATTTTGGCCCCAAGGCTCTTCTTCATGTAGTAAAATAAGAAATGGAAACTGTAGCATTTAGGTAGTGTGCAGGGATAAAGATCAAAACAGATGTTCCTAAAATATTTCTAACAGAGGTGTGAGAATTTATATTTTTGATCTACAACTACCCAAAATGCCCTGGTAGCATGGCTAAGTCTGCGCACAACTAACAGGTGTTGGGAAGCAGCTGCTGTACATTTGCTTGCAGCTGTGATTCCTGTGCCCTACTGCAGTAGCAATGAATTACTCTCACAGTCACCCATTAAAGCCACACCTTGAGCCTGAAGGAGTTATTTTGTTAAGACCACAACTCCCAGAATCTCTCAACCAGCATGGCCACTAGTACTGGAATCAAAAAAATTATCCTCCATGCCCCCAGCTCTGTTCTAAGCTTTGCCTATTCTGCTTGAAGATCACAGAACTATAATATGCAACGTTCAGTATCTTCCTGGGGATGGGCAGACATGTTCTTCCCTCTCCCAGTGAACAGGGCAGCCTGGGTCCCAGCTGAGCTTCCAATTAATCAACAACAAACTAGATTTTCTGGGTGGTTATGTTGATGCACAGCTGGCAACATGGTTGCCTCATGTATGATTGTCAACTGCCTAGAACAAAATGCAGGCCAGCAGTAAAAACTCATCAGTGTACCCGGTTGAAGTCTTTGAAGTGGAACTCCTTGTAAATGGCATCTCTGCCTTCCACCTCATTCCATCCTACAGCCCGGAGAGTTGGTAGCAGTTGTTCTCTTTCTTCTCCACTCAATCTGTGAGCTTTTGCTGCCTAGGAAAAGAGAAACCATAGAAGCAACAAGGGCCACAACAGTGTAAAGGTTCATCTTCAGAAGGTTCACAGGCACAATTACACAGAAGGCACATTTTCAGCATGCATCTCAAGCAAGATGTCCAATTGTCTCCACTATATTGACTATGTTTCAATGTTCACCGAGATAATACTTTAGGCAGTATATATATTTCATATGCAAATAAAGAGAAGCATTACACAGTGAGAAGCTCACTTTCCTTATTTGCTATGTTTACATCCCACCTTCCCAGCAATTATCTCTAAGCCACATACATGATATTCCTCCCCATTTATCCCCATGACAATCCCTGTGAGATAGGTGAGGCTGAAAGAAAATGAGACTGGACCAAGTTTATCTAATGAGATTTTGTAACTGAGCGAAGACTTGAAACCTAATCTCTTAAATCCTAAACCAGTGCTCTAACCTCAACACCACACTGCTTTGCTATACAGTAGTTGCAGGTCAACATCAACTGCTATAGTAGTTAAGCACAGTTCCCCTGTGGAACTGTGAATGCTTTGCCTTTTGCTCCCATGCAGCGATTTTCAAAATGGCTCGTCCCCTCATTTGTGAGAGTTAATGGCAAGGAATGGATGTTTCTCACTACTCATGTTCTGACTAAGGTGTCTGGAACTTACTAAACTTTCCGTAAAGATGTCCTGGGCTGCAACTCCTGGTCTTCCCTATTACCACTGTTTCCTAGCTGGGAATGTGGTACCTTGTAGCACATCCATTTTCTTACACAGTACCACAACCCCCATATTCAATTGCATATGACAGTCTTGAGTTGCATTCCCTTTGTAAGTGGCACTGTAGTCTTTTCTTGAAGCACACTGCTCTTCCCCAGAGAAACAGTTAAGAAACAGGCACCAGTGTTCATCTGAATGGGGAGAGCCTGTTTTATATTAACCAGCGTATTCCTTTGTTAGTGGTTAAACTCTTCCCCAGAGAAACAGTTAAGAAACAGAGGCACCAGTGTTCATCTGAATGGCGAGAGCCTGTTTTATATTAACCAGCTTATCCCTTTGTTAGTGGTTAACGTCTGTTGCATCACTGTCTCATGGAAAATGGGAGGAACGGAGAGTGACAAATCAGAACATGCTGCAGGAGTCTTGCTACTTTCCATTCCTCAAGTACTTCTGGAGGCAATTTGTACAAGTTAACCATTCAAATTTTATTTTGAAAATTTGTTATTACACCACAACATGGGAGACTAATTTCTCTAACACCTCTCTAATTGCTTAGAGAGGTGGAGGAGGCAGAAGGAGGGAGTAAAACAAGTTGCATTTGGATTGAGCTTTGAAATCCACACTCAAAGGGCAGGGTCATTTCTGCAAGGCACTGACTCTTGCTACATGGAGTAAACATCCTGCCTAGACCTTGCAAAGCCATACCTTTATACCTCTGCACATTGTTTGAGAAGGTCAGCAGATTCAGGACCCAGTGCTGCCCTACTTACCACATTAGCTGAACTTGGAAAAGTTAGTTTTTTCCTGTCACAATTCCCAGATTCCCCTTCCCCCCCAGCATAGAAACAAACAAGCAAGCAATGGACTTCTGGTGGATTATACCATAAAACATTGGAAATGTGTTTCTCATCAATTAAGAATATTATTGTCCATGAGATGGACAATGGATCTTACCATTCATCCCCTAGGGTGGATTATACCATAAAACATTGGAAATGCTTTACTGGTGGTTTGTGTTTCTCATCAGTTAAGAATATTATTGTCCGTGAGATGGACAATGGATCTCACCGTTCATCCCCTAACTCCCCTCCCCACAAGATAATGTGACTCTGCTACTTTATGGGATGGTTTTTGAACATTTCTTCCAAATGATGTCAGCAGACGAAACTACTGTATCTGGAGACCTACACAGGGACAGCATCCCTGTACATCACTTGGCTTAAATCAGCAAGTTCAGACAACTCTAGCAAGGAGCACGGAACGTTAAAACCACTACCTCCTGATTTACATGACCTGCAATTGTCCTCTAGATATTCTGGTTCATGATCCCATCCATACTGACCATTAGCTTTGCTGACTGGGGCGTAAGGGTGTTGTACATCTGGGGGCAGGCAATTCACTGCCCACTTTAATCTACTGTATTTTGCGTCCTACTGAGGGAGTCGGGGACTGCCTCCTGCTTCCATTGTTGTATCTGACTTTCATCATCATGGGGTAAACTCCACTGAGCAGTTCAATAAAGTGAACTGGGTAAACACTGCTCAGCACAATAAAACCTCAGTCGTTCCCCTTTTTTAGGGTGATCAGCTGATAAGCTTGCTCAGGGTATCTTAGCAACTTGGATAAGGCGGGGAAGAGGCGGACAGGCTTATTATGAGACCACAGTCAGCCACTCTGCCCTCATCTGCCATGACTGCACAGCCAGAAATGAGACAGCATTTAACTTAAGAAAATGGAGGTTTCACCTCCATCTTATAAATGCACATTCAGATGGTGCATCCAGTGTATGCCTGTGCTCTCCAGGCATTCTCCATGTGATTCTTCACACACGAGTCTGATTCCTTGAACAGGGTTGTACCTTTCATCTGAAGATTTTTATTATTAGTTTAATTTTTCTGTAAGGCTGCTGCAAACACAGGCCCTCTGCTCCTGAAAGGTTAAGTCCAAGAACAGAATTTCATCATGACTCTTGTAATGATGATGAACAAACGATAAGGCAGTGATGACTAAGCAGGGATTTACATTGGTTCTGCTTCACTCCTATGAAAATTGTCCTCCATCCCTTCCTGTCATGGGGGGAGGGGGCAGGGAAGGTGATAAAACTCTTCCACCTTTATAGCAAGAATGGGTGATCTGTGGCCCTCCAAAGTTTGTGGCTTTGGACTCCTAGGAGCTCCAGCCAGCCTAACCAACGGTGGGAGTTTTTTTCTGAAACATCTGGGCAGCCAATAGTGAGAAACAGCTGGAGCTGCAGTCTAAAACAAAAAGCCAGTAATAAAGGAAAGTGGGAAAGGTTGCCCAAAGTATGTGGAAAGCAACTATTTGCTCACTTTGCCTTACAAACTGCACAAGAGAGAACCTTCTTAATGCAGCTTTTCCATGCATTGCAAAAATGAGAATTTAAACTGACAATTAATAGATTAAAATGTTAACTTTGGCAGGAGGAGTACTTTCAGGAAAAAAAAACCCAGTGTATTTTTCTAGGAATGTTCACTTCTATTGTTTGCATTCTAAACTTGGTTTCTGCCCTCAAAGAAGGACAATGTTTGTATTAGCTAAGGTTGACAACCTTCTTCCTCCCATGCTCCTTAGTCATTTAAAATCAACCTGACTTACAGAATAGAAATTCAGTATTTTTCACTTCATGGGAGTTGAGGTTAAGTTCATTTTATCAAGCTTGTGCAGGTTAGCTTGCTCCTAAAGTCACAGACTATGTGAAACTATGGAAAACCATATATTTAGCATGAAAGCAAAGACCTTAGGAGTGAAAAGTCATACCAAAGAGTTGTTCCCTTCTCCTACTCACAGAGGCACAGTATGTGAGGCAGTTACGGCCAGCCCTACCTTTAGGCAAAATGAGAAAGCAAATGGTGAAGGGCAGGGAGATATCCACAGAACACAACTGACTATGATATGCAGCCTGGCTTGTCTGCATTAAGGAACTTTGGGTGTCGTGTAGAGTGCTTTGTTGATTGAGATCCAAGGGCCAGCTTGGCAAGGAATTTGGAATTAGGAGATACCCTTTTGTCCTTCTCTCCAGGCAGCAAAGTATCTTGGAACAGTCCTGATGACACTTAGTTAGAAAGGAGAGCCTCCCAGAGCAAACATCCATTCCCTCATAAGCCTAATTCAGAACACAGATGTTTTCTATCTGGTCTAAGAAGGGCCCACTCCTATAGCCCTTCCTCTCCCCAGGCGGTACAATCCCCTATATATTCCTAAGAATGAGGGAAGGCATTCATACTGTCATCTCCAGTTAATGATGGGAGAGGACAAGGATAAGCTTGGGCTGCCTGGCATTCCCTCCAACAGGGGAAGGCACAAAGCAGACAAAGTGAGCCCATCCCAGGTGCAAGCAGTGAGCACAATCCTACAGCGAAATATGGGTCCAGGTGTCTCTGCCCATCTCACAATGCTCCCATTGGGGCACATGAAGGCAGTCCCCCCCCCAATAGACTTTCATTTAGCTTATAAGAGAGTTTCTGGAAGATGAGTTGCCCCCCCCCCTCAACATTCCACCCCAGCCCTAACAGGCAAACACCCTAGACTATTGTACAAGTTCAAGATCCGTGATGAATCAGGGAAGAGATCTTGGTGTTCTGGTGGACAGCTCAATGGAAGTGTCAATCCATTGTGCAGTGAAGAAAGCCAATTCCATGCTAGGTATCATGAAAAAGGGGCTTGAAAATAAAATAGCCAACATTATAATGTCATTGTGCAAAACGCTGGTCGCCGCACCTCAAAAAAAGACATAGTGGAACTGGAAAAGGTGTAGAAGAGAGTGACTAAAATGATTACTGGGCTGGGGCAGTCTACAGCATTTGGGGCTCTTTAGTCTAAAGAAAAGGCGCCCGAGGGTGGACATGACTGAGAAGTATAAAATTATACAGGGGATGCATAAAGTGGATAGAGGGAAGCTCTTTCTCCCTTCACGCAATACCACAACTAGGGGACATCTACTCAAATTGAGTGTTGGGAGAGTGAGAACAGACAAAAGAAAATATTTATTTACGAGGTGTGTTGTTAGTCTGTGGAACTCCTTGCCAGAGGATGTGGTGATGGCATCTGGCCTAGATGCCTTTAAAAGTGGATTGGACAGATTTCTGGATGAAAAGTCCATCTCTGGTTACAAGCCATGATGAGGATGTACAACCTCCAGGCTTAAAAGGAAGGTACCTCCAAATGCGAGATGCAGGGGAGGGGTATCAAGAGACAGATATGTAGTTGTGTGCTCCCTGAGGCATCTGGTGGGGCCACTGTGAGATACAGGGAGCTGGAATAGATAGGCCCTTGGCCTGATCCAGCAGGGCTCTTCTAATGTTCTTAAGTTATGCAAAGATAAGCCCATTGCTGTTTGGGACTAAAGAGACAAACAACACAACACATTTAGGACTTATTAGCCAAAATTCTATTTGTGTTTATGTATGGTTTATTTAATGTTAACCACTTGCTGTGGCTGCTGCAGCTTTATTTACAACTTGCTTGTCAGGCACATTTTGACTGTAAAAGTAAGCACATGACCAGACATGTGGCTGAGACCACCAAGCTCATCAATTAGCCACAATTAGCCACAACAAGTTATGTATACTTCATGTCAACACCAACATAATTCTTATCTATCCAAAATAGGTATTCTCTCAAGTTATAAAATATGTCTCTTTATCAATAAATATAGGATTCAGGAACGCAGGATCTTTTGCCTCCCTGAGGACACCCATGATATCCCTACACCAAAACCCAGTTAGACAATACCTCTGTAGCTTATGCATCTTGGAAAGCAGATACTGTAGCGTTTGTAGCTAATCATCTTGGAAAGCAGGTACGTCTATATCACTTCCATATCTTGGATCCCAGCTTTTTTGTGATTGGTCACTGGGAGGTATACACAGGCTTAATATGTGCATCTGATTCTTGAGGCCATATGCCACAGGAATTCCCATTTGGGGAAGGGAAATGGGTTAATGGGTAGGGAATAGACATCCCCCCCCCCAATATCTAGTTTGGACCCAAAATCTAGTCGACTTCATTTGAGCAACACATCAGTGGTCTAAACAAAGGGAAAGAAAGGTCAACCCTCACACGGCATTTTCAATTTTCAAGCTCACAGGAAAGGTACCTCCTCCTGATGGCCACAATCAAATCTCTTTTCTCTGCCAGTTTAGCAGTGTACATTTTCCACACTTATCTCCCCCTAGTAGCTTTGGCCTATAAATCCTAGGTGGTGCCCGCTTTTTAAGCCTCACAGACAGGGAATTAATGCTTCTCATATGCTTTCCAGAGACCTTTAAAAAAACCTCACATGCGTCCCATTATAGCAAGCTGCAGAAAATACTTTAAGGGAAACCTTCAACAGAAAAAAAGCTGTTGTTTTCTTACTTTCAGAACCCCTATTACAAACAAAAGATGCAGAAAAGAGTACTTCAAGCATACACATGAAGGGATCTTACGTGGAAAAACACTCCTCACACAGTAACATGTTTTCAGACCGCAGCTAGGGATGGCAAAGGGAGCATGAAAGATACCAGCACAACATGGTTGAAGGGCCACCCTTCATCCATCCTATATATACTAAACCATAACGAAGGTTCTTGCTTTCAAACTTGGTTTGTTTATTCGCTCCAAACCATGATATGTCAGGACTGGCTGGCTACCTGCTTTCAGTTAGTGTGACTCTGATAGACAGCTGAAGTATCTGCTCAACATATATGTGGACACTGCTTGCCATCAAGTCATATTTAACTTTTTGCAACCCTAATAGAGTTTTTCAAAGTATGTGAGATATTTAGTGAGTGGCTTTACAATTCTTACCCCAGCTCCACGAGCTTCCATGGCCAAAAAAAAGGATACGAACCAGGTCTCTGAGCCCTGGTCCGACCCTCTACCCAATGGGTAGCCCTTACACTGGGTACCATATATGTCTTGCTGAACGTAAACCCACCAGTCCTAAATAATGGCAGCTTGAGAAACGGAGCCTAACATTAGATTTAATAAATTGCCCACCTTCCCCCGCCCCCGCCTGCGCCTCCGCGCTTCGGACGGGAGGGCCCTGGCGCGGCGCGGACGGAAGAGGGCGGACCCGTTGTCAGAAAGGAGCCACCCAGGGCCAGCGGCGGCGGCAGGAGCCTTTGGAATGATTAACCAAAGCCCGGGAAGCGGGGCCCGCCTGGAGATGACAGACCGTCTTTTCGTCTCTCCCTCCCTCCCCCTCCCTCCCCAGGGGTAGCCTGAACAACAGAGGCAGAGCTGAGGCAGAGAGACGGGGAGGGGGACGAAACAGCTGGGGAAGAATGGCGAGGAGCCATGTCGCGACTGACCAGCGCGCAGCAGAACTGCGGCTTGCCAAGTCTTCCCGCGTTTCCATTCCCTCTGGCTTCAGCTGCCGCCGGTCCCACCTTC